CAGCTGAATTAACGCCTGTAGTTCAGAAGTGAAATGGCGCAAAATTTTGATAATGACAACATATATAAGCAGACGTGTCACCAGGTGGTAGACAATCGACGCTGCCGATGGACTACATCAGAGGAGTAACGAGATTGATAGTGATGTGAAGACGAGGTTTGCGCTCACTCGCAAGCGAAACGGCGAACGCTTCACAGGGGTTTTGTGAGGCCGTGGTATCACTCCAATCAAGCAGGCCCATCGTGCTGAAACATGACTGTCCCACATTAAAACTTGGAATATTGAAAGCCGTGATGGATAATGTTGATGATGTCTATGTCATGTTGTACACTATTACGTCTGTGATTGTGTAAAACACAGCACAAACAATAAACCGCCACAGCCCGTTTCTACTAATGACTTTGTTTTTACATTCTCGGCGCCAGGGTCAACACGAGCCCAAGTTAATTATTTTATTTAAGGATGGAACACGAAATATTTCCTTTTTGATGCCAAAAGATGACGGCAACGAAAAAAAATTAGTTTCTTTCTCTATTTATTTTGATACTTTTCTTTCAATGCCTTGATAGGTTGTAACAAGATTCTAACAAAAATCTTAAATTTAGTAGTCTTACATTATTTTACCAGGTGGCGGTGCCGAAATCGTTCTGCAACCTTTCTATAGGACTTAGGCCAGATGTCTTGAAAACAACTTAACAGAAATAAATAAATTTATAACATCTCTCTAGCGGAACAGTCCATAATCCAGGATCCGATGATCCACTTAAAATAAGATTTCGTTTCCGGAAAAATCGCTTTAACCATTGCCGCAACAGCTTAACTTTTTAAATTTAAATACTCTTTTTTCCTCTTACTTTCCCTACAACCTCAATCAAGGGGCTTTGCCACTAAATTGAAGAATTAAAATAAATCTATCTCAATTTACATCTATTTTTATAAGATACTTCCTACTGAATTTTTTTATAAGAAGATGTATTAGGAAATTATTCCACTTAAGAGTTCTAAGAAAATAACAGTGCTCATTAAAAGTATTTTTCATCTCGTTTCATTAATTTCTATATTGAAAGCAAAGAAGGTAATTGAGGAAACCAAACAAAATGCCTCATGTCATGCCATGAAAAGTTCAAAGTTTCGGAGTTTATTTCCGAGTCGTGACCTTTAAACAAGTCAATATCCCCACAATGAGGCCTAATGGAGAATTAGACCTAACAAAATTGTCGTCAATTTTCTGGAAACAGACAGTTTCAATTATACATACTTATGTATGTATTTTTTATTTACGTTTACTGATATGAGATACATTGATGATACGTAATAAATGTTAATTGAAATTGATACTTGTAGACATTACATATATTTTGTTACCTTCTGTAGATATATGCACAAGTCATAGTTACACCAGTTGAATACAGTAATGTACCGCGGCATCGGCCTGGAGCAGAAGAAGGAACGGCGTGATTTTTGCTCTGTAAGAGTCTTCTGACACACCCTCTCTCCCTGCCCAGGGCGAGAGAATTGATATGATGATTACCCGGCCTCAAAAACGTCATAGTTCCAAAATGGCTTTTTTTATGGAATAGGTGGCCGCCCATGGACCAACACCAGAGGAGTCACAAGTCCATTGCCGGCCTTTTAAGAAGGAGTACGCTCGTTTCTTGAAGGTGTGAAAGTCGCGCCGCTGCCGCAAGATCATTGCAAAGTTTTGCTGTGCGGGGCAGAAAGTTACGCGTGAATCGCACAATTGTTGTCTGCCAACCATCTATGTGATGAGAATGAACATGTTTTCGCGTGGAACGATGGCGTGGAAAGATGCGGCGGGGATCAAACTGAACAATTCTTCAGAACACTCCCCGTGATAAAGGCGATATAGAATACATAGCGAGGCTACATCCCTACGCAGTGCCAAAGAGTTCGGCCGGTCTGAGACAACAGGGCAGAGAGAAGCTGGTACTGGGGTGCCCCCGCCCAAAGATGAGAACAGTATTCCATATGGGGCCGTACTTGCGCCTAGTAAAGTAGCAGGCGATGTCACGGGGTGAAATACTGGCTCGATATATTGAGTTCTCCCGCGTATTCAGTCAAGAGGATTCTTAGGCCCTAGACTCAATACTATTACACTCGTCACTACTAAACTAGTGAAGTGCAAATGCACTGCCATGACATAATTATTATTTAAAAGCGTTCATATTAAATTCTTCGTAGATGGAAACTTGCAAACAATAAAAAATACAAATAAATCTCTTGACGCCATTTCATTGGTTCCATGGGAAAAAGGAAAAATCTCCGGAAACAGTTCCGGCTGTTGACACAATTTATTATGAGTTCGCTGATCGTCGTCACCTAAATTTTGAAGTTTACTAGGTAACAACATTCTTTCTCTGACCGTCAAGTTTTCGAGGTCGTTTTCGGGATAAAACTGCCATTCTGTACATTATTTTATCTTAATGGTGTAAAAAGACGTTTTGCATTGTATTGCACCCTGAATTGTGTTTGAAATGGTCAACTGTAGCTCCCCGCCCGCCCAGAACTAGACAAGAGCGTGCGCCGCGTCTGTGGTTGTCTATTGACGCCTCAAGGAGTCAATAGACAACCACAGATGAGTCCAATAGGGCCGATGTTTAGGCTAGGTTGCAGGTCAAGCGCAATAGTACTCAGCTGCTGTAAAATCTAACATATTTTTTTCCAGGAATTCCCCGAGAACGTATTCTATTAATAAGTATGTGATAACAAATAAATTATTTGTTTATTATTGCCGTCGTATGCATATCCCTATCACAATATACCAAATATATGATAAAACTGATAAAATGTCTGATTATTTGGACACGTCATAGCTTAATAAGAAAGGAAATCTTTATCCTTACCGATAACAACATATTTTAATGATAGACATTTTTTGAGATAGCTAATGCAAAGATAATCGTTTGAAAACATATCTTACTTAAAAAGTCTACATCAATACCAATATGGTATTTTTTTTCTCTTAAACCATGTTTACCAACAAAACCGTATGGAATGTAAAAAACGTTTACACTTTTGAAGTAAGGGATTTTTAACCGACTTCCAAAAAGGAGTAGGTTCTCAATTCGACCGTATATATGCTTTTTTTATGTTTGTTCGCCGATATCTCCGTTATTTATGAACCGATTTTGATAATTCTTTTTTATTGGAAAGAAGATAGTCCCAGCATGGTCCCATGATATAAGAAAATCAGGCTCTTTTGATTAAAGAGTCATATTTCATTAGTTGCTCTGTTACTCATAATAGTTTATCAAATCTGGTAGAAATTTATTAAATCTATTATGATGTGAAAAACATAAAGTTATAGAAAAATAAACGCCGCCGCCGTGTCCTCTAGGTAGTCCTCACAATGGCGACACTCGAGCGTTTCCTCCTGCTGGGTCTGAAACAAGAACCTACCGAAGCTGCCATGCCCGGTAAGCACCTGCATCAGGCTGAAAGTGAGGACGCCGTGGCGTCTCTTCGCCACTCCTCAAAGAGAGGTCTTACCGCTGCTATAGTAGCGTGCCCGGCCCTCGGTTGCGACGGTCGTTGCTTCCACTCAGCCATGAGATCTCGCCGGAGCTTATTCCGCCACGCACAAATTTAGCGCGGTAGAGGATCCTCGTGACGGCGACGCGCGTCTGCGCGAGCGCCTTTGCTTCCAGATCCCACGGCGGTGATCCGCCAAGGAGGTTCGCCGCCTCCCCGGAGATCGTGCGATATCCACGGATAATCCGGATAGCCATGACCCTCTGGGACGCCCTGTAGTCCTCGTACAGTTCCACCTCTCTAGTTTCAGCGTCCAGAGGGCGGATACGAAGCCTGCGGTGCCTGGTGTACCGGTGTCGCGCCGCGGTACACTCACCGCATAGATTAGCTATATAGCTCTCTCGACCACCAATACATCTGGCGCTTGCGGTTGCGCGCTTGGATCCGGGGCATCGCCACGTCACAAATCCTGGACATGGCGTCCTGGAGCCATCTCGCCTCCTCGTTAAGGTCGGCAGGCCTGGCCAGTGGTTTCACCCAGGCCTTTACGACTGCGGCTTCCAGGAACAGCTCCCGATCCAGCTGCCTTAGTGCCCAACGCGGGCCACACGGGGCCTGTCTAACTGGCGGGTCTGCGGACTCGGCAAAAACGTCGAACCGGATGTACTGGTGGTACGTTTCCTCCTCCTCCATGACCCGCCAGTCAGCGACGCGCGGCGACAGAGCGGGGATGGCGAAAGAAATGACGACCATTGATTCGCCCCGCAACTGAGGCGTCAGTGAGCCTGGAACCCCAAGCCAGCGGTTACCGCCTCACCTGCCACTCGCCGCCATCGGTGCGCATCCCGATAGCGGCCGCGTAAGTGCCAGCTGCGAGCGGGGGTCGGAGGAGCCTACCCTCCAGAGCGTCGAAACGCTGCTGGAAAGCGGCCATCTCCCGCCGCATGAGGCCAAGAAGTTCTTTGCTGGCTGCGCGGACTGGAATCCACCCGCGCGAGCAGCGGCCAGCTCTGCCTTTGCCGCTCAGAGTCGGCAGCCGCTAATCGGGCCGGTTCGCACCTCATCCCGGCCATCTCCCTTTGCAGAGCTGTCATGTGCCGCTGTACTGAGCCCCACGGCGAGGTCTTCTGGTGCGCACCCCAGTAGTAACGGTCTACCCAGTAATTTTTCACCACTTTGAGGTTAAATTAAGTTTGGATGGTAGTCGAAATCATACACATGTTATGTGTCTAAACATACTATTGCGTGTTCGCCATAATATTTTTCTTAGGGATATATAAATGTACAAAATTTTTTATTGTTTCTAATTATATGAATTTTACACCAAACCATTCTTCAAAAGTTACAATCACACCAGTACGATTCTCAGCAACTTCAAAGCGATGGCGAATCTTACGAAAAAGAAGTTCGTTAGTGTATTTATTTATAAATAAAAGGACATTTTGGCAGACCTTTATGGGTATGTACATTATGTGTATAATTATGTTCTTATCACGCATTATTTCCGTGCTGATACGAATCGTTAGATATTGTAATCATCATCAATTCATTGATAAATATCAACACAAAATTCAGTTCTTTGTGAGGATTTTTTCATATCTGACGTTTTGATAAAAATATAGAACCCGGATTTCGGTGGCAGTGAATTCGGTGTTGTTTGAAGAAATAAAAATATTGGCTCTGTGTTTGTTTTGGTGGTGTATACAAGTGTGGTCAATGATACAGTATAACCCTGTGCATTATATGCTAAAATTTTCTTAATCATCGTGTCATCCAAGTGTTACCTACATGTTTGTTAAAAGATAGCAAAATGGGGTTACGGAGGTGGACTATACTATTTTTGCTTATTTTTACGGAATATTTCGAAACAAAACTTACTGCTTCTGCTCAAGGTAAGACAATTTTATTGACTTGTTTTATTTTCAAAAGAGGTTACCATAATCCTATTAATATTACAAATGCGAAGGTTTGTTGATGACATGATTTGCATGGCATTTAATGCAGGCAGTGCAATAAGAGTCTGGTACTTCCTCCCGCGCCACCCACGGCGGAAGAAGGGATTAGATAATTTAGACTCTTCAAAAAAAAGGCTTATTTTATTAAATAATAATATTTATTAAATTCCGATTAGATCAATATTATTTTATGCGACACTCATACTCCACGCTTTGAAAGTGCGAGAACGGAACAAAAATACCTAATCTACAATGTCGTATGAGGATTGGATACAAATATTTAGTACTTATGGAGTATGGACGTTTCATTTATGATAGTTATCCTGGAACGAAGGGATCTAGATATGGATTATTAATGTTTTTATTTTTTTGCAAAGCAAATGGCACTCAAAATAGGCAAATTTATAACTTTAGGGTCCTCAATATAGATAGACTGTGTTGTAAGTGCAAATATTTTGGGTATTAACTAATGTCGAGGATTAGGTACGACACAACATATTTGTGCTTTGGATTAAGTAGGGATTCGCATCGAAAAATACCTAATCCAATATTTATGCTTCACGTCTAATATTGCGTGACTTATCAAACGTGGAAATATAAAGCATAATAATATAAATAATACACAGAGTCAACTATAGTACTATTTTATTAAAACGTTGGCGTTGTAAAAGAAGAATATGTATGTCATTACCATTTGTATGTTTTGAAATTATGCGATATTGCAAGATACTAAAGAAATATATATCTTGCGGACTACATTGAAAAAAACTTTATAAGTAGGTAAATTATCTTTATAATTTAATAAAATCTTTTTTTACAGGATGTTCCGTTGGAGATGGATCGAGTTTTGCCATAGAGATCTTGGACGTACATGAAGGCATTATTTTTAATTTGGAAACTTCAGGCGTTATCGGTAAGTTTGTCATCATTCAATCAATTTATTGACATCGCAAGTAATATATATATAGAAAAACAGTTTTTATTCTGCGGAAAGACGATGCAATCGATAACAGCTCGTAGCAAAAAATAGCATAAAAATCTTTCAACTGGGTAAAATTTTTGGTAAAGCTTTGGTATAACTTGAAAATCGTGCCTCAGGAGGGGGGCGGGGATTGTAATGGGGGAGGAGTAGTAACCTTTGTACCACTCCCATGAAAAGGCAACTCACCGTTTCCGAAAAAACGATATTTTATAACCCAACTTCTTATGGATCGTTTAGAAAAAATAACCACGAAGGAGGTGGTGGGATCTGATTTCGCTCGCTTGTCTCGCTCAAACACCTAACACAACCTACCCCACCTAACACAAATAAATAAATAAACACAACCTGTCCAAGTTTCGCCCCTAACTTTATTGGGGGATGCGACGATTCTGAATGAGCTTTGCACGCTTTGCATTATGATTCATCCTTTTGCTTGCTCAAGACGGATTGCTGATTTCAAACTTCTAATTAGAAATTACAAGGCCAGGTTTGGCCATGGTATTTCCTATCACGATTTGTCAATGGGGTATAAATTTAGTTGAAAAGTACATAATTTGCACAATGAAATGATCAAAGTGGGTTTCGAACTGATGAGAAGCGCCTTAACCTGCGGACCATCCCAGACACAGAATAAAAACTATATATAAATACTTAAGCATTCCATTTTACCGATTCAGACAGAGACTCAAAATTTACATCACAAACATTAATATTGTGACCGCTTTGGTTATAAACACTCATTTTTACGTTTCGTTTTACCTTTTATACCATATTTGTGGTTAGAAATTTTGTAAATATCTCGAAAATTATGCTTTACCTTGTAATAAGAGTGGTAGCGTTATAATCGGGGACCCAAGCTCTACAAGCTTAGACACTTTCTAGACCAAAAATCCTGCTGAATCCAACTAAAATCAAGTCCTGCCCAACCTACTAGTTAATGTTCTATGTACCCTGGACATCAAAACTAATTTTACAAATGCGAAAGTAACTCTGTCTGTTTGTCTTTTCTTCACGCCGAAACTACTGAACCGATTTCTGTGATTTTTGGTGTACCTGTATATTAGTTGATGTCCTTTCTGGAGTAAATGTCTGTAGACATAGTTTGGAACTCCAGAAAGGACATCGGATACGGTTTTTATACCTAAAATCTACAGGAAGTCACTATTCCACGCGAACGAAGTCTCTCAAACTCGCCACACCCACTGTTTAATGTCTCAGAGAGTAAGAGTGACAGATGATTGTGTATAATTTTGCATTTGCTCAAAATAAATAATAACACCATTAACAATTTATTTAAGCTGAAGCATTCCTTTTTCACTTTCAATGTTAACTATTAGATAGACACTCAATATTTCATATAAAAAAGAGGACTAATTCTTAACTTTTGAATGTAACAGTTCCAATATAGAAGTAAACACAAAAATATTATTTATTTCAGGCTTTACTGTCGCTTATGGTCAACCTATAAGAGATCCTCCATATTTTGACATGGTCATCGAGGACTCTCGATTTTTGATGACACCCAATGAAAGGTTCTCGCAATATGAGGAAAATGAGATTTCGTCAATAATTGACATCATAACAACGTTTCGATGCAGTGACGGTATGAATATTTTGCGGGTAAGTTATTTTTGTCTTTATATACCTACTTCCACTGGCTATGCAATCTTCGCAGCAAGTATTTTTAGATAAACACTTCGGTTTTTAATATTTTGTAGACGTTACAACTCATAAAAATTATTATTAATTTTACCTTTTTTGTAACATAACGAGCCTACTTAGAAAAAAAGGTACAATTAACACTAATTATTTTTATAAGAAAACGCATGTCTCTCATAGCTTGATTGAAACATCGTGATAAACAAGATCATTGTTTTTATTTCAGTTCATTGTTTTTTTTGCAGACTTTTACAATTCAATTAATAGATACTAACAATCATGCCCCAGTGTTTATACCACCACCGGGTCACTACCATTACGTCCTCGATGCACCAACACCACCAGGATACCATGTAACTGGCTGCTTGTCCGACCTAATAGCTCGAGATGTCGACCTCACAACCGAAAAAATTATATTTGAAATTGAAGATAACCCGTTTTTCAGTATTACGTACAGTGCTGAAATGTCAATAGATGGAAGTAAAGAATTTAAAGCTATAGTTACTACTAAAACATTCGTAAGAAATTTTCCGCAAGAAATGACATTACATATTAAAGCTACAGTAAGTTTAGAATTTTTATTTTTAGTTTTTGGTTTCGTTTTTATTTGATAGACATAATCTGCTAATTTGTATTGACAATTAAAATAATGAGACTTGTTGAATCACTCAAATATTATTTACATTTAACTGAATAATATTTTTTGTACTTTTGTTACATACTTACATTAATTTTTATAATTATCTTTTGACCTCTTAATTTTCCAATGTAACTTTATAAAGCCGGTAGGGTAACTAGTTAACCAAGAGCCATGGTAAAAGGTCCCTATCTAAACACAAATAAAATGTTGTAAAGGTGCAAACCTAGTACAAAACAGTACAATTATTTTATCTACTTGGAAACAAGTAAAGAATAAGTTACAGTAAACTAAAGAAAACGACAAAAAATGAGACTCCACAATTAGATACTAGTTTGGAACTAAATTATAACGAAACGTAACTAGTTCATAACTATAGAAGTTACACTAGTCAATATAATTAATGACGTTTAATCTTCTTCTATCAGGACGTCCACGGTACACCGGGACAAGGGGTACAGACAACAAATGGTCAAATTACTATTACAGGCAATAAAAACTTTGTGCTCCCCGATGAACCAGTATTTTCTAAAACTATGTACACGGGTATTTACACAACTGATTTACCGATTAACCAAGTTGTGCTAGACGAACTAATATCTCTACAACATGGTTATGACGACCTCGTGCGCTTTTACATTGATGGCCGTGAGTATAATAATATTGTGAGAGGTGCTACTTAATCAAAATTTACTATTGTACCTATTAAAGATTAGAATCGAATTACAGAAAAATCACGATTTTACTTATTCTTGATTTTGTTTTTATAGCCTTCAAGGACAATTTTAAGCTTGTCCCGCTACCAGATCAGGTGAATCAGATCAGGATTGAAGTGGTGGTTCCACTAGAAGAAGATTATCTTTTACAAGAAAGCATCGCCCTCGAAATAATAGCTGAAAGAGAATTTACCAGCGGAACTTCAGCAACAGTGATCTTACAGTTACCTCGAGGTAATTGCATTAAAAGTTTAAACGCATAATAACAGTATTTTTTATTTTTAACCGACTTCAAAAAAAGGAGGAGGTTCTCAATTCGATTGTATTTTTTTTTTTTTTTTATTTTTTTTTTTATGTTTGTTACCTCAGAACTCCGTCGTTTATGGACGGATTTGCAAAATTTTTTTTTATGATTGAAAGGATATGCTTCCAGATTGGTCCCATTCTTTTCAAAATCGAGTTTTGATGATGGGATCCATGAGAAATCGAGGGAACTCCTCAAATATTATAGGCAACTATATAGTAATTTTAATATTTTCATAGAGCACTCAAGCATTTACAGTCAAAAAGTAATATTTGATGAGGTGGAACTGGTGAAGAAGATCAGAAATGGGTGATGAAACTTGACACTCGCATAGATATCACAATCAAGGTAGTTCAGCAACTATGAAAATGCACTGTAAACCAATGATCTTAAATAATTATGTTGGAAATGTTATCATCGAACTGATTTAATGATGATTATGGAGCTGGAAGGTAGGCACTGGAACTGCGTACCTAATTAATATATCCTAGCCGTGTTTGGGCTTGTTAGAATTGTTATAAGATGCACTTTGGCTGTAAGGTACTATTGAACTGATGTGATGATGAAGCTGGAAGGTTGGCATGGGGCCTAGTATTGTGTAAGCTTATTAGAGCTGTCAAGAGCAATGGAAAGGGCTATGCTCATAGTTTCCGTGCATGTTCGAATCAGAAATGAAGAAATCCGCAGAAGAACCAGCGTCACCGACATAGCCCGAAGAAATGCCAAACTTAAGTGACAGTGGGCACGGGACATTGCTCGTAGAACAGATGGCCGATGGGGCCGAAAGGTTCTAGAGCGGGACCGCACACCTTTGGGGGCGGAGTTTGGCCTAGTATTGGCTATTTTGCATTAGTCCACGTGGACTGCGTTTACACATTAGTGGTGAAATGCGTCATTGTGTTCTTATCGTTTTCCTGGAAATAGGCTAAGAGAATTCATTGGCATTTTTAACAAAACAGTCGTTTTAAATGGGTTACAAAACAATAATTGCGTCGTACAAAACAATAATTGTATTTCTTTTGTGTGCACATATGTAGATAATACTTACTTAAAAAAGGTTCATACATTGAATGAGTCATAAATGTATATTTACAATAGCGATGGTCTTTTGTATTTTTACCAACTTGTCTATATATGAATGTTCTTAGTAATAACAAAATAGTTATTAAGTGTGGGAGAGGTATTAAGTGTGGGAGAGCCATGCTTCGGCACGAATGGGTCGGCTCGACCGGAGTGATACCACGGCCTCACAGAAAACCGGCGTGAAATAACCTCTGCGTTGTGTTTCGCCGTGTGAGTGAGGTTACCGGAGGCCCAATCCTTCTCCTTTCCCAATCCCACCTCAATCCCTAAATCTCCAAATCCTTATCCCTAAAAGGTCGGCAACGCACTGGTAACTCCTCCGTTGCGAGTGTCCATGGGCGGCGCTGATTGCTTACCATCAGGTAATCCGTCTCCTCGTTTGCCGAGCTATTACATAAAAAAAAAAAAAAGTATTATTCATTTAATGGGTTACAATTGATACAAAACAATAATTGCATCGGTCTTTTTTCTATGTACGAATGTATTTAATCATAGATACTAAATTAGATTGCATTTGGTATCTTTGAACTTTATCTGTCTGTTGATGAAAATATCTAGTTTTTTGTTATTTGGCGAGAACTTATATGAATTTATGATAAGATTATTATTTTATTTTAACTATAAGTCATAAGTATCTCATGCATCATATCATCTCTCCTCGAGATCAAAACGATTACACAGTAACAATGTACTATGATATGTATTTCTACGTATAAGTATGACATTGGTAACTTTTTCAAAAGAAATGTAGGAACGATATTGACTTCTTTGCCATAACACATTATAATAAAAAAAACACTAAACGGCTACAAATAAAAAAAAAAATTACAAAATAAAAAAACCGCCTTCAAAAAAAGTCAAGCAATAAAAGTTCCTACACTAAAAAGTAAAAAATAACAATTTGAATTACTGTAAAAAAACTTAATTTATAGGTAAACTTATTTGACATTAATATTTTGCAAATATTCAAAATTTATTACTTATTTTTGGAGTCGGTGCCAGCCCATGCAAGGAAATACAAATGGGCAACAATCCCTTGAAAAACTACCTCTTACTTAATTATAAAACTACTTAATACCTATTTGCATACTAAAATATAGGTATATTAATTAAGACATAAATACAGATTAGACTTCTCTACAAAAAATGTCCGATTTACACATTTTTTTTAAATAAAAAATATATACTTACAAAAACATTTTAAGTACATTGAAAATGTTTAAGCATTATTTACGAAAAATGGCACCGGATATTAAAAAGCTAACTAACATTAAGTTTCAACATTAAAATGCTGGCACCGACTCCAAAAATAAGTAATAAATTTTGAATATTTGCAAAATATTAATGTCAAATAAGTTTACCTATAAATTAAGTTTTTTTACAGTAATTCAAATTGTTATTTTTTACTTTTTAGTGTAGGAACTTTTATTGCTTGACTTTTTTTGAAGGCGGTTTTTTTATATAAGTTGCGTCCATTAAGTGCTTAGACCAACAATATCACATGACTGCCATAGAATGAATAAGGAAGTAGTCTCTACTCTAAATCTAGTCACAGATACTTTAAATTAGGAAAACAATCAAATGATAAAACTGCTCAAAATAATAGAAATTATTAATTGTGCTGAATAATAATATTTTATATTTTTTTAAACATTTCATCTTTCGTCATCAATAATATGTTTTCACTTAAGGTTGTTCAACTAAAGAAAATATATGGTGCTTACGGGGAAACTTTGCGACCTTTTAAAGGCGTTACATTACATTGATCATGTGACAGTTGCTGAAATAAGATCATTACAATGAGATCTTAAAAGACAGACTGAGCTATCTTTAGCAGCGGTAAGACCCCTCTTTGCGAAGTAGCTTCAGAGACGTCATGCCATCCTACCGGGCACGGCAGCTTCGGCGAGAGGAAAAGCCCGAGTGTTGTCATTGTGAGGACTACCCTGAGGGCACAGTGGTGGTGTGCCCTGCTTAGGCTGAGCGACGCCGTGTCCTCAGGGAAGTGATTGGGGCCAACCTTTCACGTCCAGCCTTAATCGAGGACGTGGTGCGTAGCAAGAGGAACTGTGAACTTGAGACGCACGTGATATCAATCAGGAGAAATGATTTAACTTAAGTGATAATAATATGAATTTTTATTTAGGTGGCAAAATAGTGTAGAAATACTTGAGCAATTCATGCAGAGAGCAAATCTATTAATATAAATACATGAAATACGGATATCTTAACACTCATTTACAATTTTGTTTTCAGTTGTGCCCTTGAAGTTCGAACGTGCTCACTACGAAGGAACAATTGAGAACAACGTCCTTCATCTCCCGCCGTTGTTGCTCAGTCAGGGTTACGAAGATTCCATTGTGTCGGCTGATTTCGTACTGAACGGTAAGTTTACGACATATTTCAATCTATTGCAATGCGTCGACAACCACGTAACGCTAAATAATTGCATTATGTTTCAGAATATTCAGAGCCGTATATTCAGGCCTTTAGAGCCGATGTTCAAGAGGGCGTAGTCACCGTGTCAATGTCAGCATTAGATCAGACTGTCATAGACCAGAACAACTTCATCTACCTTCAGATAGAAGCCACTGCTACAAGCGGCACCGCGACTTCTGTCATCACCCTGGAGATCATAAAAGATGATAATGTTACTCCAGTATTCGAGAAGCCAATATATACTGGATCATATGAACCTGGCAAGGAATTGATAATTGAGCAAATTTCATTTAGTCAGGGCTACGATGGAGTGGACTCATTGCTCTTCGATGGAGGTAAATTGTTGAGGAGTTATTGATGTATCCTATGTTAGAGAATACAAAGAGCACGGTTGCCAAAGGAATAAAATCACATAAAACGTAGACCCTTATCGATAACTTAATTGTTTATATTTCTTGTTTCTTAGAACACAAGACGTACTTCGCGGCGTCGCGGAATGGACCTCACGTGACAATAGAAGTATCAAATATACCGCCTGAGCTATTCAACTTGGGGCGCATAGAATTGTCTCTGCAAGCTACAAAACCAAGGACTGTGGGTGCTACTACTACAGTGATCGTCACCCTACCTGCAGGTAAGTAGATTTAAAATGGTGAAATCAGTGTCTTGGTAAAATTATGTTTAGTAAATTTACTATAACGAGAATCACAATAGTTTTTGTTGGTAAGTGTGTCCGTAAGTTTATGACCACAATTGTTATTCTTATGACGACCAGGTGTATCATCTGATGGTAAGCAATTATCGCCGCCGATGGACCCTAACAACATTAGAAGAATGCTAGCCAGACTTTTAGGGGTTGGGTGTTTGAGGGATGAGGGAATCGAGAATAGGAGGGGGTAAAAGTTTGGACCTCCCCGGTAGCCTCAAACGCGCGGCGAAGCACAATGCAATTACTTTTTGCGACTGTCGTCGGCGAGGCCTTGACAGTCCTTCTCCGCCTGCAGTGATACGCTTGCCCAACCGACCAATTAATGTTGAAGCATGACTCCACCATAACTGTCACATAAATGTATTATTTTTATTCTTATAGAGTATACACAATATCAAATGTCTAAGTTATTCAATGAACACAACTTCCAAATTTCAATTATTAACACCAGTGGTTTGGGCTACAGCGTGATTCATATTCATTAAGGATAAAGTATTATATATAAACGTAGAGATGATCAATTTTTAACACAGATGTTTGGTTTTGCTTTCAGTTGTGCCCTTGAAGTTCGAACGTGCTCACTACGAAGGAACAATTGAGAACAACGTCCTTCATCTCCCGCCGTTGTTGCTCAGTCAGGGTTACGAAGATTCCATTGTGTCGGCTGATTTCGTACTGAACGGTAAGTTTACGACATATTTCAATCTATTGCAATGCGTCGACAACCACGTAACGCTAAATAATTGCATTATGTTTCAGAATATTCAGAGCCGTATATTCAGGCCTTTAGAGCCGATGTTCAAGAGGGCGTAGTCACCGTGTCAATGTCAGCATTAGATCAGACTGTCATAGACCAGAACAACTTCATCTACCTTCAGATAGAAGCCACTGCTACAAGCGGCACCGCGACTTCTGTCATCACCCTGGAGATCATAAAAGATGATAATGTTACTCCAGTATTCGAGAAGCCAATATATACTGGATCATATGAACCTGGCAAGGAATTGATAATTGAGCAAATTTCATTTAGTCAGGGCTACGATGGAGTGGACTCATTGCTCTTCGATGGAGGTAAATTGTTGAGGAGTTATTGATGTATCCTATGTTAGAGAATACAAAGAGCACGGTTGCCAAAGGAATAAAATCACATAAAACGTAGACCCTTATCGATAACTTAATTGTTTATATTTCTTGTTTCTTAGAACACAAGACGTACTTCGCGGCGTCGCGGAATGGACCTCACGTGACAATAGAAGTATCAAATATACCGCCTGAGCTATTCAACTTGGGGCGCATAGAATTGTCTCTGCAAGCTACAAAACCAAGGACTGTGGGTGCTACTACTACAGTGATCGTCACCCTACCTGCAGGTAAGTAGATTTAAAATGGTGAAATCAGTGTCTTGGTAAAATTATGTTTAGTAAATTTACTATAACGAGAATCACAATAGTTTTTGTTGGTAAGTGTGTCCGTAAGTTTATGACCACAATTGTTATTCTTATGACGACCAGGTGTATCATCTGATGGTAAGCAATTATCGCCGCCGATGGACCCTAACAACATTAGAAGAATGCTAGCCAGACTTTTAGGGGTTGGGTGTTTGAGGGATGAGGGAATCGAGAATAGGAGGGGGTAAAAGTTTGGACCTCCCCGGTAGCCTCAAACGCGCGGCGAAGCACAATGCAATTACTTTTTGCGACTGTCGTCGGCGAGGCCTTGACAGTCCTTCTCCGCCTGCAGTGATACGCTTGCCCAACCGACCAATTAATGTTGAAGCATGACTCCACCATAACTGTCACATAAATGTATTATTTTTATTCTTATAGAGTATACACAATATCAAATGTCTAAGTTATTCAATGAACACAACTTCCAAATTTCAATTATTAACACCAGTGGTTTGGGCTACAGCGTGATTCATATTCATTAAGGATAAAGTATTATATATAAACGTAGAGATGATCAATTTTTAACACAGATGTTTGGTTTTGCTTTCAGTTGTGCCCTTGAAGTTCGAACGTGCTCACTACGAAGGAACAATTGAGAACAACGTCCTTCATCTCCCGCCGTTGTTGCTCAGTCAGGGTTACGAAGATTCCATTGTGTCGGCTGATTTCGTACTGAACGGTAAGTTTACGACATATTTCAATCTATTGCAATGCGTCGACAACCACGTAACGCTAAATAATTGCATTATGTTTCAGAATATTCAGAGCCGTATATTCAGGCCTTTAGAGCCGATGTTCAAGAGGGCGTAGTCACCGTGTCAATGTCAGCATTAGATCAGACTGTCATAGACCAGAACAACTTCATCTACCTTCAGATAGAAGCCACTGCTACAAGCGGCACCGCGACTTCTGTCATCACCCTGGAGATCATAAAAGATGATAATGTTACTCCAGTATTCGAGAAGCCAATATATACTGGATCATATGAACCTGGCAAGGAATTGATAATTGAGCAAATTTCATTTAGTCAGGGCTACGATGGAGTGGACTCATTGCTCTTCGATGGAGGTAAATCGTTGAGGAGTTATTGATGTATCCTATGTTAGAGAATACAAAGAGCACGGTTGCCAAAGGAATAAAATCACATAAAACGTAGACCCTTATCGATAACTTAATTGTTTATATTTCTTGTTTCTTAGAACACAAGACGTACTTCGCGGCGTCGCGGAATGGACCTCACGTGACAATAGAAGTATCAAATATACCGCCTGAGCTATTCAACTTGGGGCGCATAGAATTGTCTCTGCAAGCTACAAAACCAAGGACTGTGGGTGCTACTACTACAGTGATCGTCACCCTACCTGCAGGTAAGTAGATTTAAAATGGTGAAATCAGTGTCTTGGTAAAATTATGTTTAGTAAATTTACTATAACGAGAATCACAATAGTTTTTGTTGGTAAGTGTGTCCGTAAGTTTATGACCACAATTGTTATTCTTATGACGACCAGGTGTATCATCTGATGGTAAGCAATTATCGCCGCCGATGGACCCTAACAACATTAGAAGAATGCTAGCCAGACTTTTAGGGGTTGGGTGTTTGAGGGATGAGGGAATCGAGAATAGGAGGGGGTAAAAGTTTGGACCTCCCCGGTAGCCTCAATCGCGCGGCGAAGCACAATGCAATTACTTTTTGCGACTGTCGTCGGCGAGGCCTTGACAGTCCTTCTCCGCCTGTAGTGATACGCTTGCCCAACCGACCAATTCATGTTGAAGCATGACTCCACCATAACTGTCACATAAATGTATTATTTTTATTCTTATAGAGTATACACAATATCAAATGTCTAAGTTATTCAATGAACACAACTTCCAAATTTCAATTATTAACACCAGTGGTTTGGGCTACAGCGTGATTCATATTCATTAAGGATAAAGTATTATATATAAACGTAGAGATGATCAATTTTTAACACAGATGTTTGGTTTTGCTTTCAGTTGTGCCCTTGAAGTTCGAACGTGCTCACTACGAAGGAACAATTGAGAACAACGTCCTTCATCTCCCGCCGTTGTTGCTCAGTCAGGGTTACGAAGATTCCATTGTGTCGGCTGATTTCGTACTGAACGGTAAGTTTACGACATATTTCAATCTATTGCAATGCGTCGACAACCACGTAACGCTAAATAATTGCATTATGTTTCAGAATATTCAGAGCCGTATATTCAGGCCTTTAGAGCCGATGTTCAAGAGAGCGTAGTCACCGTGTCAATGTCAGCATTAGATCAGACTGTCATAGACCAGAACAACTTCATCTACCTTCAGATAGAAGCCACTGCTACAAGCGGCACCGCGACTTCTGTCATCACCCTGGAGATCATAAAAGATGATAATGTTACTCCAGTATTCGAGAAGCCAATATATACTGGATCATATGAACCTGGCAAGGAATTGATAATTGAGCAAATTTCATTTAGTCAGGGCTACGATGGAGTGGACTCATTGCTCATCGATGGAGGTAAATTGTTGAGAAGATTAGTTATTGATGTATCCTATGTTAGAGAATACAAAGAGGACGGTTGCCAAAGGAATAAAATCATATAAAACGTAGACCTTTATCGATAAACTAATTGTTTATATTTCTTGTTTCTTAGAACACAAGACGTTCTTCGCGGCGACGCGGAATGGACCTCACGTGACTATAGGAGTATCAAATATACCGCCTGAGCTATTCAGTTTGGGGCGCATAGAATTGTCTCTGCAAGCTACAAAACCAAGGACCGTGGGTGCTACTACTACAGTGATCGTCACCCTACCTGCAGGTAAATAGGTCAAAATGGTGAAATAAGTGTCTTGGTTTTTTTTTTTTTACTAGCCTGTATTGTCCCTCTGCTTGGTAAAGGCCTCCCCATCTCGCTTCCACACCTCCCGATCTTTCGACCGTGTCCACCAGTCTCGACGATAGTCATCTAGATCGTCACGCCATCTTTTCCGGGGCCTACCCCGCCTGTGGCCTCCATCCTGAAGTATGCACTGGGTGACATTCGGCTGACGTGTCCGGCCCAGTCCCATTTTAATCTTGCCGCCTTTTGGCCCACATCAGCGACTCCTGTTCTGGAACGTATCACGGTATTCCGTATGCGATCGATCCGTTTTATGCCTAACAGGCTACGTTCCATTGCCCTTTGGCAAACCCTGAGCCTGGACTTCTGACACTCGGTTAGAGACCAAGTTTGACCACCGTTAGTTAGGTCAGGCAAGATATACACGTCGACTAACTCTCGCTTGAGTGAATGGGGAAGTCATGTATTGCTTTATGGACCATGGAGCTTTTCCAAGCGTTCTCGATACGGCGATCTATTTTCTTCTCCTGCCTGTTAACGAAAGAAACTAACTGGCCCAAGTAGATGTACTCGTCGACATAGGGTAGAGCTTGCCCATCCAGTTCGACCCTATGTTTCGTGCTGTTCGTCTTATCTTGTGTCTTGCTCATGTTCATATGAAACCCAACCTCCAGGCTTGCCCTCTTCAGATCTTGGAGCATTTGTTGGAGCTCTGCTGATGTAGACACGAAAAGAACGATTTCGTTTACACCTTTTTCTATGTAAAATGGTGGGCCAAGAGAAAGTAGTTTAATTGAAGCTGTGCTGGCTCTGTAGACCAACTCCAAAAGCTTTATTTAGGTCTCATTTATATCTTGCGAGCGGAAAGATCGCTGTGTTCGAGGCTGTCAAAAGCCTAAGAGTAATCCACAAAAGCCAGGTTTATGGTATTCGTTATATTTTTCTATTATTTGGTTGAGCGTAAATAGATGGTCGGCTGTGGAGAAGGATGGGCGAAATCCAGCCTGTTCGACTGGCTGATGCTTGTCTAGTTGGTATCTGATGTGGTTATGAATAATTTTAATAAAGAGCTGATAAGTGTGGGAGAGCCATGCAAGTGTGGGAAAGCCATGCTTCGGCACGAATGGGCCGTCTCGACTTGAGTATCACCACGGCCTCATAGAAGACCGGCGTGAAATAACCAAAGCGTTGTGTTTCACCGTGTGAGTGAGGTTACCGGAGGCCCAATCCTTCCCATCCCCTAATCCCACCTCAATCCCTAAATCTCCAAATCCCTAATCGCTAAAAGGTCGGCAACGCACTCGTAACTCCTCCGTTGCGGGTGCCCATGGGCGGCGCTGATTGCTTACCATCAGGTAATCCGTCTGCTCGTTTGCCGATCAATCACATAAAAATAAAAGATACAGATGAGAGATTAGGCTTATAGGTCGATAGTTATTGATATCGGTCTTGTCACCTTTTTTATGCAGAAGAATTATGTTGGAGTGGGCAAATTCGAGTTAAAAAGATTCGTAATATGGGATGTTAAAGTGTTTTTGAATAATTAAGGTATCTCTGTTCTGATGCCATCTTCTCCAGGGCTCTTTTTGTATTTTAAACTTTTTAAAGCTAAATCAATTTCGCCGCTACTGATGGGAGGGATAGCATGAGGGCAGAGATAATCGATAGGTTCAGAGGGTCGCGATGAATCTGTGTATAAAGTTTTGTGAAAGTCTGTACACCTGTGGCTTATTGCCTTATTGTATCTCTACTTTGCTGTTTAACACCATTTCTGTCTCGCAAACACAAATGCCATTTTTGCCGATCTTAATGATTCATCTCTATCTAGAGCAGTTTTAATTAATTGTATGCTGTATTTTCTCAAATCTTTCCTGATGTATTTTTACTTTCATTATTCTTTTCATTAAGGATAAAGTATTATATATAAACGTAGAGATGATCAATTTTTAACACAGATGTTCGTTTTTGCTTTCAGTTGTGCCCTTGAAGTTCGAACGTGCTCACTACGAAGGAACAATTGAGAACAACGTCCTTCATCTCCCGCCGTTGTTGCTCAGTCAGGGTTACGAAGATTCCATTGTGTCGGCTGATTTCGTACTGAACGGTAAGTTTACGACATATTTCAATCTATTGCAATGCGTCGACAAACACGTAACGCTAAATAATTGCATTATGTTTCAGAATATTCAGAGCCGTATATTCAGGCCTTTACAGCCGATGTTCAAGAGGGCGTAGTCACCGTGTCAATGTCAGCATTAGATCAGACTGTCATAGACCAGAACAACTTCATCTACCTTCAGATAGAAGCCACTGCTACAAGCGGCACCGCGACTTCTGTCATCACCCTGGAGATCATAAAAGATGACAATGTTACTCCAGTATTTGAAAAGCCAATATATACTGGATCATATGAACCTGGCAAGGAATTGATAATTGAGCAAATTTCATTTAGTCAGGGCTACGATGGAGTGGACTCATTGCTCATCGATGGAGGTAAATTGTTGAGAAGATTAGTTATTGATGTATCCTATGTTAGAGAATACAAAGAGGACGGTTGCCAAAGGAATAAAATCATATAAAACGTAGACCCTTATCGATAAACTAATTGTTGATATTTCTTGTTTCTTAGAACACAAGACGTTCTTCGCGGCGACGCGGAATGGACCTCACGTGACTATAGGAGTATCAAATATACCGCCTGAGCTATTCAGTTTGGGGCGCATAGAATTGTCTCTGCAAGCTACAAAACCAAGGACCGTGGGTGCTACTACTACAGTGATCGTCACCCTACCTGCAGGTAAATAGGTCAAAATGGTGAAATAAGTGTCTTGGTATTTTTTTTTTTTTGTAGATGAGAGAGAGTAGATGTACTCGTCGACATAGTGTAGAGCTTGCCCATCCAGTTCGACCCTATAATTCGTGCTGTTCGTCTTATCTTGTGTCTTGCTCATGTTCATATGAAGCCCAACCTCCAGGCTTGCCCTCCTCAGATCTCCAGACATCAGCAGAGCTCCAACAAATGCTGGAGCGTAGCGGACACGAAAAGAACGATTTCGTTTACACCTTTTCCTATGTAAAATGGTGGGCCAGGAGAAAGTAGTTTAATTAAAGCTGTGCTGGCTCTGTAGACCAACTCCAAAAGCTTTATTTAGGTCTCATTTATATCTTGCGAGCGGAAAGATCGCTGTGTGTTCGAGGCTGTCAAAAGCCTAAGAGTAATCCACAAAAGCCAGGTTTATGGTATTCGTTATATTTTTCTATTATTTGGTTGAGCGTAAATAGATGGTCGGCTGTGGAGAAGGATGGGTGAAATCCAGCCTGTTCGACTGGCTGATGCTTGTCTAGTTGGTATCTGATGTGCTTATGAATAATTTTAATAAAGAGCTGATAAGTGTGGGAGAGCCATGCAAGTGTGGGAAAGCCATGCTTCGGCACGAATGGGCCGTCTCGACTGGAGTATCACCACAGCCTCACAGAAGACCGGCGTGAAATAACCAAAGCGTTGTGTTTCACCGTGTGAGTGAGGTTACCGGAGGCCCAATCCTTCCCATCCCCTAATCCCACCTCAATCCCTAAATCTCCAAATCCCTTATCCCTAAAAGGTCGGCAACGCACTCGTAACTCCTCCGTTGCGGGTGCCCATGGGCGGCGCTGATTGCTTACCATCAGGTAATCCGTCTGCTCGTTTGCCGATCAATCACATAAAAATAAAAGATACAGATGAGAGATTAGGCTTATGGGTCGATAGTTATTGATATCGGTCTTGTCACCTTTTCTATGCAGAAGAATTATGTTGGAGTGGGCAAATTCGAGTTAAAAAGATTCGTAATATGGGATGTTAAAGTGTTTTTGAATAATTAAGGTATCTCTGTTCTGATGCCATCTTCTCCAGGGCTCTTTTTTTATTTTAAACTTTTTAAAGCTAAATCAATTTCGCCGCTACTGATGGGAGGGATAGCATGAGGGCAGAGATAATCGATAGGTTCAGAGGGTCGCGATGAATCTGTGTATAAAGTTTTGTGAAAGTCTGTACATCTGTGGCTTATTGCCTTATTCTATCTCTACTTTGCTGTTTAACACCATTTAATGATTCATCTCTATATAGAGCAGTTTTAATTATTTGTATGCTGTATTTTCTCAAATCTTTCCTGATGTATTTTTACTTTCATTATTCTTTTCATTAAGGATAAAGTTTTATATATAAACGTAGAGATGATCAATTTTTAACACAGATGTTCGTTTTTGCTTTCAGTTGTGCCCTTGAAGTTCGAACGTGCTCACTACGAAGGAACAATTGAGAACAACGTCCTTCATCTCCCGCCGTTGTTGCTCAGTCAGGGTTACGAAGATTCCATTGTGTCGGCTGATTTCGTACTGAACGGTAAGTTTACGACATATTTCAATCTATTGCAATGCGTCGACAAACACGTAACGCTAAATAATTGCATTATGTTTCAGAATATTCAGAGCCGTATATTCAGGCCTTTAGAGCCGATGTTCAAGAGGGCGTAGTCACCGTGTCAATGTCAGCATTAGATCAGACTGTCATAGACCAGAACAACTTCATCTATCTTCAGATAGAAGCCACTGCTACAAGCGGCACCGCGACTTCTGTCATCACCCTGGAGATCATAAAAGATGATAATGTTACTCCAGTATTCGAGAAGCCAATATATACTGGATCATATGAACCTGGCAAGGAATTGATAATTGAGCAAATTTCATTTAGTCAGGGCTACGATGGAGTGGACTCATTGCTTTTCGATGGAGGTAAATTGTTGAGGAGTTATTGATGTATCCTATGTTAGAGAATACAAAGAGCACGGTTGCCAAAGGAATAAAATCACATAAAACGTAGACCCTTATCGATAACTTAATTGTTTATATTTCTTGTTTCTTAGAACACAAGACGTACTTCGCGGCGTCGCGGAATGGACCTCACGTGACAATAGAAGTATCAAATATACCGCCTGAGCTATTCAACTTGGGGCGCATAGAATTGTCTCTGCAAGCTACAAAACCAAGGACTGTGGGTGCTACTACTACAGTGATCGTCACCCTACCTGCAGGTAAGTAGATTTAAAATGGTGAAATCAGTGTCTTGGTAAAATTATGTTTAGTAAATTTACTATAACGAGAATCACAATAGTTTTTGTTGGTAAGTGTGTCCGTAAGTTTATGACCACAATTGTTATTCTTATGACGACCAGGTGTATCATCTGATGGTAAGCAATTATCGCCGCCGATGGACCCTAACAACATTAGAAGAATGCTAGCCAGACTTTTAGGGGTTGGGTGTTTGAGGGATGAGGGAATCGAGAATAGGAGGGGGTAAAAGTTTGGACCTCCCCGGTAGCCTCAATCGCGCGGCGAAGCACAATGCAATTACTTTTTGCGACTGTCGTCGGCGAGGCCTTGACAGTCCTTCTCCGCCTGTAGTGATACGCTTGCCCAACCGACCAATTCATGTTGAAGCATGACTCCACCATAACTGTCACATAAATGTATTATATTTATTCTTATAGAGTATACACAATATCAAATGTCTAAGTTATTCAATGAACACAACTTCCAAATTTCAATTATTAACACCAGTGGTTTGGGCTACAGCGTGATTCATATTCATTAAGGATAAAGTATTATATATAAACGTAGAGATGATCAATTTTTAACACAGATGTTTGGTTTTGCTTTCAGTTGTGCCCTTGAAGTTCGAACGTGCTCACTACGAAGGAACAATTGAGAACAACGTCCTTCATCTCCCGCCGTTGTTGCTCAGTCAGGGTTACGAAGATTCCATTGTGTCGGCTGATTTCGTACTGAACGGTAAGTTTACGACATATTTCAATCTATTGCAATGCGTCGACAACCACGTAACGCTAAATAATTGCATTATGTTTCAGAATATTCAGAGCCGTATATTCAGGCCTTTAGAGCCGATGTTCAAGAGGGCGTAGTCACCGTGTCAATGTCAGCATTAGATCAGACTGTCATAGACCAGAACAACTTCATCTACCTTCAGATAGAAGCCACTGCTACAAGCGGCACCGCGACTTCTGTCATCACCCTGGAGATCATAAAAGATGATAATGTTACTCCAGTATTTGAAAAGCCAATATATACTGGATCATATGAACCTGGCAAGGAATTGATAATTGAGCAAATTTCATTTAGTCAGGGCTACGATGGAGTGGACTCATTGCTCATCGATGGAGGTAAATTGTTGAGAAGATTAGTTATTGATGTATCCTATGTTAGAGAATACAAAGAGGACGGTTGCCAAAGGAATAAAATCATATAAAACGTAGACCTTTATCGATAAACTAATTGTTTATATTTCTTGTTTCTTAGAACACAAGACGTTCTTCGCGGCGTCGCGGAATGGTCCTCACGTGACAATCGAAGTATCAAATATACCGCCTGAGCTATTCAGTTTGGGGCGCATAGAATTGTCTCTGCAAGCTACAAAACCAAGGACCGTGGGTGCTACTACTGCAGTGATCATCACCCTGCCTGCAGGTGAGATGATTAAAATGGTTATATAAGTCTCTTGGTAAACCTATTTTTAATAATCTTACTAAAACGAAAACCACGATAGTTTATGTTCGTAAATATGACGATAAGTTCATCATCATAATCTTAAAACTTACCAAAAAGTGTCTTATTTCAGCGTTTAAAAAAAATATAAAGTTCCACGAAATAAGTGAGATTATTCTCTCTTATACTTTAAAGCTTTTTTATCTGTATTTTTATTTTGACCTCATCTTTCAATTCTTTCCGGAATTATTTGTTCAGCTAGACCGTTGGAATTCGGAGAATCTATTTACATCTTTAATAAGATATGGTATTCAGAATGATATCTTAAGCCTCGATCCAATACCGTTGACTGTTGGAATTGAGGGCTATAGAGTTTACTATAGATAAAGGTGAGTTGATTTCAGAATATTGTGATATATTTGGATCTTCAAACAAATTTTCTGCAAGTTTACGCTACAGTCTATTTATTTCCTTAGTACTTGGATTGGCGGACGGACGGAGATTTACTAAGTAAGATGTTTTTGTAAATAGAACCCAGCTTAATTTTATATTATATATACTATGTACAAGTCCAAGTCCAAGTCCTTGATCAAGACAAGAAATTCTTGTATGTGAGTGAATCTTATAAAGTTAAGCTGATCAACTCCAATTTTATTGATGTTACAAAAAACAAATATTACTGTCATAAATGTTTATACATCTTGTTAAATGATTGCGTAGAATAGCACTGTAAAAGTACCTAACCAATGAAATAATTGTTTTATTTTTCATGTTTTAAGTAAATTATTTCAAAATACGATACTTCTTGGTTGAAAAAGAAGCAAATCTAGCCGTAATAGTTTGAATACTCCCATCTCTGACATCATTGTAATAGAGAACAATGTAATAATATTACAACTCACTGCATCTGGTCCTAATGCTACATCGACCACAACGAATGTTATTCTTGATGTAATGAAGATGGTCGGGCAACTGGCTGCCGTGCAACGTGTCGAGGGTTTGATTCCCGCACGGAACAATTCTTTGTGTGATCCAAAAATTGTTGTTCCGAGTCTGGGTGTCATGTGCTCGTGAAATTGTGTGTTTGTAACCGCACCCGAACAGGAGAAAATCCTAATTTGGGGCAACGTTTTAAAAAAACTTAAACTCTAAAGTTCCGCGTAGACGTGACAGCCTTCATTTCAATTATGACGCCTACATAACAGTTAACACAAAATTTTTATGTGAATATTTAATTGTGTTTAATGTCCACGGCATCGATATTAACTACGCCATATCGATACCAATGAATATATTCGTCAAATATAAATTAGTCTTATTATTACTGAATAAAAAAAAAATTTACAAAATAAAAAAACCGCCTTCAAAAAAAGTCAAGCAATAAAAGTTCCTACACTAAAAAGTAAAAAATAACAATTTGAATTACTGTAAAAAAACTTAATTTATAGGTAAACTTATTTGACATTAATATTTTGCAAATATTCAAAATTTATTACTTATTTTTGGAGTCGGTGCCAGCATTTTGATGTTGAAACTTAATGTTAGTTAGGTTTTTAATATCCGGTGCCATTTTTCGTACATAATGCTTAAACATTTTCAATGTACTTAAAATGTTTTTGTAAGTACATATTTTTTATTTAAAAAAATGTGCAAATCGGACATTTTTTGTAGAGAAGTCTAATCTGTATTTATGTCTTAATTAATATACCTATATTTTAGTATGCAAATAGGTATTAAGTAGTTTTATAATTAAGTAAGAGGTAGTTTTTCAAGGGATTGTTGCCCATTTGTATTTCCTTGCATGGGCTGGCACCGACTCCAAAAATAAGTAATAAATTTTGAATATTTGCAAAATATTAATGTCAAATAAGTTTACCTATAAATTAAGTTTTTTTACAGTAATTCAAATTGTTATTTTTTACTTTTTAGTGTAGGAACTTTTATTGCTTGACTTTTTTTGAAGGCGGTTTTTTTATTTTGTAAATTTTTTTTTATTTGTAGCCGTTTAGTGTTTTTTTTTTTATTATTAAAATGTGTTATGGCAAAGAAGTCAATATCGTTCCTACATTTCTTTTGAAAAAGTTACCAATGTCATACTTATACGTAGAAATACATATCATAGTACATTGTTACTGTGTAATCGTTTTGATCTCGAGGAGAGATGATATGATGCATGAGATACTTATGACTTATAGTTAAAATAAAAATAATAATCTTATCATAAATTCATATTAGTTCTCGCCAAATAACAAAAAACTAGATATTTTCATCAACAGACAGATAAAGTTCAAAGATACCAAATGCAATCTAATTTAGTATCTATGATTAAATACATTCGTACATAGAAAAAAGACCGATGCAATTATTGTTTTGTATCAATTGTAACCCATTAAATGAAGAATACTATTTTGTTATTACTAAGAACATTCATATATAGACAAGTTGGTAAAAATATAAAAGACCATCGCTATTGTAAATATACATTTATGACTCATTCAATGTATGAACCTTTTTTAAGTAAGTATTATCTACATAGGTGCACACAAAAGAAACACAATTATTGTTTTGTACGACGCAATTATTGTTTTGTAACCCATTTAAAACGACTGTTTTGTTAAAAATGCCAATTAATTCTCTTAGCCTATTACCAGGAAAACGATAAGAACACAATGACGCATTTCACCACTAATGTGTAAACGCAGTCCACGTGGACTAATGCAAAATAGCCAATACTAGGCCAAACTCCGCCCCCAAAGGTGTGCGGTCCCGCTCTAGAACCTTTCGGCCCCATCGGCCATCTGTTCTACGAGCAATGTGCCGTGCCCACTGTCACTTAAGTTTGGCATTTCTTCGGGCTATGTCGGTGACGCTGGTTCTTCTGCGGATTTCTTCATTTCTGATTCGAACATGCACGGAAACTATGAGCATAGCCCTTTCCATTGCTCTTGACAGCTCTAATAAGCTTACACAATACTAGGCCCCATGCCAACCTTCCAGCTTCATCATCACATCAGTTCAATAGTACCTTACAGCCAAAGTGCATCTTATAACAATTCTAACAAGCCCAAACACGGCTAGGATATATTAATTAGGTACGCAGTTCCAGTGCCTACCTTCCAGCTCCATAATCATCATTAAATCAGTTCGATGATAACATTTCCAACATAATTATTTAAGATCATTGGTTTACAGTGCATTTTCATAGTTGCTGAACTACCTTGATTGTGATATCTATGCGAGTGTCAAGTTTCATCATCCATTTCTGATCTTCTTCACCAGTTCCACCTCATCAAACATTACATTTTGACTGTAAATGCTTGAGTGCTCTATGAAAATATTAAAATTACCATATAGTTGCCTATAATATTTGAGGAGTTCCCTCGATTTCTCATGGATCCCATCATCAAAACTTGATTTTGAAAAGAATGGGACCAATCTGGAAGCATATCCTTTCAATCATAAAAAAAATTTTGCAAATCCGTCCATAAACGACGGAGTTCTGAGGTAACAAACATAAAAAAAAAAAAAAAAAAAAAATACAATCGAATTGAGAACCTCCTCCTTTTTTTGAAGTCGGTTAAAAAGCCCCTCGGCGAGCAGTTGTGAAAACAACATCTTGCCGAGGCTTCTTCATACATGAAGATATGAAGACAAATACCCTCAAATGTTTGAAATTTCTTTAAATTTTGGTCCACTGTCATTACTTGACAAACGGCATGAATTAATTATTACAATTATCAATTGTAAAGTGGTTAATTTTATATTCAATTTTCAACCTTAAAAACTATAGCCGACCAACGATTACAAAACAAAAATCAGCCAAATCTTACGTATCAGAGTTTGAGGTCTGATTTTTCAATAGTTAGATAAATGTTATCTGAGGAATAAAATTGTATTGCTCTCACTGTCTTAAACAAATATTCTGACGTGACAGCGTCAGAATTACTCCCCAAGTAAGTTTCATCCAACCACTGAACAATCAGCCCTTAAAAAAAGAATAGTAAACAATGTCAAGGGACATTATCATCTTGCAAAACAAAAGCATTTTATTATCATAACGATTGGACAATTTTGTCCTTTTTCTCATAGTCATAAGAAATACTAAAATAAATAAAACTAAGTATTGGTAGTGTTTTTTTTAAATTCTTAGATAGTACATTTAGTTACAATTTCTTTCGTGGATGTGTACTCGTATTCGACTTTGTAAACGTAACAGTCGAAGTCACTACTGTTTCATGTAAAACTGCTGTTGTTTTTCAACAGCATTGTTATCAGCATATTCTAGCTATATTATCAGTTTATGAGATAAGTTTATCTTATCTCAAAAACTGAAAACGTAAGAAATACACATTTAAGAAAAACTAAAAAATATCCTTTATACTTAGCGAATGCTTGACAACAAGACCACTTTGTTATAAAAATATTATTTTAAACACATTTTTTTCAGATCTCATAAATGCTGTGGTTTTCGTTTCATAATATAAATATTATGAATACAATTTTGTAACTCCTTTTAGTATATTCATTTAACTAATTTATTATAAAATTTAATCTAAGCAAGATTTTCAAATGTTTATATAGATTCGCAGACGGGAGTATTAGTTTTTACAGGCTAGAATCGAAGTCGACATTCTAATAGTCTACATATGTTCATCACTTCTGGCCATTCAACCAATCAATTCCTTTCATATTATAATTGTTTAGAGAAAAAAATTGTTACTTAATCTTTTTAGGATACTGCAAATAGTATAGTGCAATTAATCCAAACTAATATAATAAATGCGAAAGTAAATCTGTCTGTCTGCTTTTCTTCACGCCTAAACTACGGAACCGACTGGTACAGAAATAAGATACACAAGTAAGATTTTCAAATGTTTATATAGGTTCGCAGATCGGAGACGATGTATATTTCGAGAGAGTCCTATACGAAGGCACTGTTCAGGATAATGACGTCCAACACGAAGAAATCAGAATATTTGGCTTCGATGGAACATCTGTCGAGTTACATGGAGGTACGTAGAGGAATGTTAATTGACATGCGATAATCGTCCAGCCCTATGTTATAATATTTTACCCAACCCGGGAAACAAAATATTCTTCTTGTTTGTGCAACCTTTAAACATGCAAGAGCTAAGTTTCGGAATGTTTAATGAAATCGTATCAATCAAGTACATCTGTCGTTACTAACGTCTCTCTAACAAATAGCTCAGTCTACAAAGTTTTGTAATTCAGAAGTGTTCAAGTGTTTACCAATTTTAACAACAACGATCAAACGGTGTCAAGACACACAAATGTATTCTTTACACCGTGTTCTAACTATATCTCTTTGATCTAAGTAAATTTAAACGATAAAGAAAAATATATTGAGGAACAATCATCATTAAATAGGTAACAAAAATATTTTTTTTCAATCGTTTCTATATTCAGAGTTTCATTTTTACTTCTTCAAGAAGATTTGGATATTTAAAGGCTATAGGAAATAAAACACTAAACCCATTGGATTGAAGAAACGATTAACCCGTGATATGTTGGAGCGCAGATCTACGCGAGACACAATGCGTTTTCTATTGTATACTGGAAATACCGGAGCAAGGGAAAGACCGGGGTGGTTTTAGTGCACTCCACAATTAGAAATGTATGACTTTCCTTTGACAAAGTCTTAAATGTAAATATTATATGTGAATATTGTATTTTCAGAAAACTCGAACTTGTTCAAGGCGGAAGCGACGAACGGGCTGGTATCGGTGAGACCGGATGGATTACTGAACCTCCCCCCTGGCATCACCCGCGTAGCCCTTGAGCTCCACGTAGGAAGTGCAAGAGCTGTATTACTTCTCAATGTCAAGGAATCAGGTAACTATTGTTTAAATAGGATGTAGAATTCAGTGACACCTAGCCACTTTTCTTTTCCCTCATCGTTGTCCCCAAATTCGAGATAGTGAAAGACGAAAACGAACGAAAAACTCAATATTAGTTTTTACAGGCTAGAATCGAAGTCGACATTCTAATAGTCTACATATGTTCATCACTTCTGGTCATTCAACCAATCAATTCCTTTCATATTATAATTGTTTATAGAAAAAAATTGTTACTTAATCTTTTTAGGATACTGCAAATAGTATAGTGCAATTAATCCAAACTAATATAATAAATGCGAAAGTAACTCTGTCTGTCTGCTTTTCTTCACGCCTAAACTACGGAACCGACTGGTACAGAAATAAGATACACAAGTAAGATTTTCAAATGTTTATATAGGTTCGCAGATCGGAGACGATGTATATTTCGAGAGAGTCCTATACGAAGGCACTGTTCAGGATAATGACGTCCAACACGAAGAAATCAGAATATTTGGCTTCGATGGAACATCTGTTGAGTTACATGGAGGTACGTAGAGGAATGTTAATTGACATGCGATAATCGTCCAGCCCTATGTTATAATATTTTACCCAACCCGGGAAACAAAATATTCTTCTTGTTTGTGCAACCTTTAAACATGCAAGAGCTAAGTTTCGGAATGTTTAATGAAATCGTATCAATCAAGTACATCTGTCGTTACTAACGTCTCTCTAACAAATAGCTCAGTCTACAAAGTTTTGTAATTCAGAAGTGTTCAAGTGTTTACCAATTTTAACAACAACGATCAAACGGTGTCAAGACACACAAATGTATTCTTTACACCGTGTTCTAACTATATCTCTTTGATCTAAGTAACTTTAAACGATAAAGAAAAATATATTGAGGAACAATCATCATTAAATAGGTAACAAAAATATTTTTTTTTCAATCGTTTCTATATTCAGAGTTTCATTTTTACTTCTTCAAGAAGATTTGGATATTTAAAGGCTATAGGAAATAAAACACTAAACCCATTGGATTGAAGGAACGATTAACTCGTGATATGTTGGAGCGCAGATCTACGCGATACACAATGCGTTTTCTATTGTATACTGGAAATACCGGAGCAAGGGAAAGACCGGGGTGGTTTTAGTGCACTCCACAATTAGAAATGTATGACTTTCCTTTGACAAAGTCTTAAATGTAAATATTATATGTGAATATTGTATTTTCAGAAAACTCGAACTTGTTCAAGGCGGAAGCGACGAACGGGCTGGTATCGGTGAGACCGGATGGATTACTGAACCTCCCCCCTGGCATCACCCGCGTAGCCCTTGAGCTCCACGTAGGAAGTGCAAGAGCTGTATTACTTCTCAATGTCAAGGAATCAGGTAACTATTGTTTAAATAGGATGTATCGCAGAATTCAGTGACACCTAGCCACTTTTCTTTTCCCTCATCGTTGTCCCCAAATTCGAGATAGTGAAAGACGAAAACGAACGAAAAACTCAATATTAGTTTTTACAGGCTAGAATCGAAGTCGACATTCTAATAGTCTACATATGTTCATCACTTCTGGCCATTCAACCAATCAATTCCTTTCATATTATAATTGTTTATAGAAAAAAATTGTTACTTAATCTTTTTAGGATACTGCAAATAGTATAGTGCAATTAATCCAAACTAATATAATAAATGCGAAAGTAAATCTGTCTGTCTGCTTTTCTTCACGCCTAAACTACGGAACCGACTGGTACAGAAATAAGATACACAAGTAAGATTTTCAAATGTTTATATAGGTTCGCAGATCGGAGACGATGTATATTTCGAGAGAGTCCTATACGAAGGCACTGTTCAGGATAATGACGTCCAACACGAAGAAATCAGAATATTTGGCTTCGATGGAACATCTGTCGAGTTACATGGAGGTACGTAGAGGAATGTTAATTGACATGCGATAATCGTCCAGCCCTATGTTATAATATTTTACCCAACCCGGGAAACAAATATTCTTCTTGTTTGTGCAACCTATAAACATGCAAGAGCTAAGTTTCGGCATGTTTAATAAAATCGTATCAATCAAGTACATCTGTCGTTACTAACGTCTTTCTAACAAATAGCTCAGTCTACATCATTAACAAACAAAAATATTTTTTTCAATCGTTTCTATATTCAGAATTGCATTTTTACTTCTTCAAGAAGATTTGGATATTTAAAAGGCTATAGGAAATAAAACACTAAACCCATTGGATTGAAGAAACGATTAACCCGTGATATGTTGGAGCGCAGATCTACGCGAGACACAATGCGTTTTCTATTGTGTACCGGAAATACCGGAGCAAGGGAAAGACCGGGGTGGTTTTAGTGCACTCCACAGTTAGAAATGTATGACTTTCCTTTGACAAAGTCTTAAATGTAAATATTATATGTGAATATTGTATTTTCAGAAAACTCGAACTTGTTCAAGGCGGAAGCGACGAACGGGCTGGTTTCGGTGAGACCGGATGGATCACTGAACCTCCCCCCTGGCATCACCCGCGTAGCCCTTGAGCTCCACGTAGGAAGTGCAAGAGCTGTATTACTGCTCAATGTCAGGGAATCAGGTATCTATTGTTTAAATAGGATATATCGCAGAATTCAGTGACACCTAACCACTTTTCTTTTCCCTCATCGTTGTCCCCAAATTCGAGATATTGAAAGACGAAAACGAACGAAAAACTCAATATTCGTTTTTACAGGCTAGAATCGAAGTCGACATTCTAATAATCTACATATTATGTTCATCACTTCTGGCCATTCAACCAATCAATTCCTTTCATATTATAATTGTTTAAAGAAAAAAATTGTTACTTAATCTTTTTAGGATACTGCAAATAGTATAGTGCAATTAATCCAAACTAATATAATAAATGCGAAAGTAACTCTGTCTGTCTGCTTTTCTTCACGCCTAAACTACGGAACCGACTGGTACAGAAATAAGATACACAAGTAAGATTTTCAAATGTTTATATAGGTTCGCAGATCGGAGACGATGTATATTTCGAGAGAGTCCTATACGAAGGCACTGTTCAGGATAATGACGTCCAACACGAAGAAATCAGAATATTTGGCTTCGATGGAACATCTGTCGAGTTACATGGAGGTACGTAGAGGAATGTTAATTGACATGCGATAATCGTCCAGCCCTATGTTATAATATTTTACCCAACCCGGGAAACAAATATTCTTCTTGTTTGTGCAACCTATAAACGTGCAAGAGCTAAGTTTCGGCATGTTTAATAAAATCGTATCAATCAAGTACATCTGTCGTTACTAACGTCTTTCTAACAAATAGCTCAGTCTACATCATTAACAAACAAAAATATTTTTTTCAATCGTTTCTATATTCAGAATTGCATTTTTACTTCTTCAAGAAGATTTGGATATTTAAAAGGCTATAGGAAATAAAACACTAAACCCATTGGATTGAAGAAACGATTAACCCGTGATATGTTGGAGCGCAGATCTACGCGAGACACAATGCGTTTTCTATTGTGTACCGGAAATACCGGAGCAAGGGAAAGACCGGGGTGGTTTTAGTGCACTCCACAGTTAGAAATGTATGACTTTCCTTTGACAAAGTCTTAAATGTAAATATTATATGTGAATATTGTATTTTCAGAAAACTCGAACTTGTTCAAGGCGGAAGCGACGAACGGGCTGGTTTCGGTGAGACCGGATGGATCACTGAACCTCCCCCCTGGCATCACCCGCGTAGCCCTTGAGCTCCACGTAGGAAGTGCAAGAGCTGTATTACTGCTCAATGTCAGGGAATCAGGTATCTATTGTTTAAATAGGATATATCGCAGAATTCAGTGACACCTAACCACTTTTCTTTTCCCTCATCGTTGTCCCCAAATTCGAGATATTGAAAGACGAAAACGAACGAAAAACTCAATATTCGTTTTTACAGGCTAGAATCGAAGTCGACATTCTAATAATCTACATATGCTCATCACTTCTGGTCATTCAACCAATCAATTCCTTTCATATTACAATTGTTTAAAGAAAAAAATTGTTACTTAATCTTTTTAGGATACTGCAAATAGTATAGTGCAATTAATCCAAACTAATATAATAAATGCGAAAGTAACTCTGTCTGTCTGCTTTTCTTCACGCCTAAACTACGGAACCGACTGGTACAGAAATAAGATACACAAGTAAGATTTTCAAATGTTTATATAGGTTCGCAGATCGGAGACGATGTATATTTCGAGAGAGTCCTATACGAAGGCACTGTTCAGGATAATGACGTCCAACACGAAGAAATCAGAATATTTGGCTTCGATGGAACATCTGTTGAGTTACATGGAGGTACGTAGAGGAATGTTAATTGACATGCGATAATCGTCCAGCCCTATGTTATAATATTTTACCCAACCCGGGAAACAAAATATTCTTCTTGTTTGTGCAACCTTTAAACATGCAAGAGCTAAGTTTCGGAATGTTTAATGAAATCGTATCAATCAAGTACATCTGTCGTTACTAACGTCTCTCTAACAAATAGCTCAGTCTACAAAGTTTTGTAATTCAGAAGTGTTCAAGTGTTTACCAATTTTAACAACAACGATCAAACGGTGTCAAGACACACAAATGTTTTCTTTACACCGTGTTCTAACTATATCTCTTTGATCTAAGTAACTTTACACGATAAAGAAAAATATATTTAGGAACAATCATCATTAAATAGGTAACAAAAATATTTTTTTTCAATCGTTTCTATATTCAGAGTTTCATTTTTACTTCTTCAAGAAGATTTGGATATTTAAAGGCTATAGGAAATAAAACACTAAACCCATTGGATTGAAGGAACGATTAACCCGTGATATGTTGGAGCGCAGATCTACGCGAGACACAATGCGTTTTCTATTGTATACTGGAAATACCGGAGCAAGGGAAAGACCGGGGTGGTTTTAGTGCACTCCACAATTAGAAATGTATGACTTTCCTTTGACAAAGTCTTAAATGTAAATATTATATGTGAATATTGTATTTTCAGAAAACTCGAACTTGTTCAAGGCGGAAGCGACGAACGGGCTGGTATCGGTGAGACCGGATGGATTACTGAACCTCCCCCCTGGCATCACCCGCGTAGCCCTTGAGCTCCACGTAGGAAGTGCAAGAGCTGTATTACTTCTCAATGTCAAGGAATCAGGTAACTATTGTTTAAATAGGATGTAGAATTCAGTGACACCTAGCCACTTTTCTTTTCCCTCATCGTTGTCCCCAAATTCGAGATAGTGAAAGACGAAAACGAACGAAAAACTCAATATTAGTTTTTACAGGCTAGAATCGAAGTCGACATTCTAATAGTCTACATATGTTCATCACTTCTGGTCATTCAACCAATCAATTCCTTTCATATTATAATTGTTTAAAGAAAAAAATTGTTACTTAATCTTTTTAGGATACTGCAAATAGTATAGTGCAATTAATCCAAACTAATATAATAAATGCGAAAGTAAATCTGTCTGTCTGCTTTTCTTCACGCCTAAACTACGGAACCGACTGGTACAGAAATAAGATACACAAGTAAGATTTTCAAATGTTTATATAGGTTCGCAGATCGGAGACGATGTATATTTCGAGAGAGTCCTATACGAAGGCACTGTTCAGGATAATGACGTCCAACACGAAGAAATCAGAATATTTGGCTTCGATGGAACATCTGTTGAGTTACATGGAGGTACGTAGAGGAATGTTAATTGACATGCGATAATCGTCCAGCCCTATGTTATAATATTTTACCCAACCCGGGAAACAAAATATTCTTCTTGTTTGTGCAACCTTTAAACATGCAAGAGCTAAGTTTCGGAATGTTTAATGAAATCGTATCAATCAAGTACATCTGTCGTTACTAACGTCTCTCTAACAAATAGCTCAGTCTACAAAGTTTTGTAATTCAGAAGTGTTCAAGTGTTTACCAATTTTAACAACAACGATCAAACGGTGTCAAGACACACAAATGTATTCTTTACACCGTGTTCTAACTATATCTCTTTGATCTAAGTAACTTTAAACGATAAAGAAAAATATATTGAGGAACAATCATCATTAAATAGGTAACAAAAATATTTTTTTTTCAATCGTTTCTATATTCAGAGTTTCATTTTTACTTCTTCAAGAAGATTTGGATATTTAAAGGCTATAGGAAATAAAACACTAAACCCATTGGATTGAAGGAACGATTAACCCGTGATATGTTGGAGCGCAGATCTACGCGAGACACAATGCGTTTTCTATTGTATACTGGAAATACCGGAGCAAGGGAAAGACCGGGGTGGTTTTAGTGCACTCCACAATTAGAAATGTATGACTTTCCTTTGACAAAGTCTTAAATGTAAATATTATATGTGAATATTGTATTTTCAGAAAACTCGAACTTGTTCAAGGCGGAAGCGACGAACGGGCTGGTATCGGTGAGACCGGATGGATTACTGAACCTCCCCCCTGGCATCACCCGCGTAGCCCTTGAGCTCCACGTAGGAAGTGCAAGAGCTGTATTACTTCTCAATGTCAAGGAATCAGGTAACTATTGTTTAAATAGGATGTATCGCAGAATTCAGTGACACCTAGCCACTTTTCTTTTCCCTCATCGTTGTCCCCAAATTCGAGATAGTGAAAGACGAAAACGAACGAAAAACTCAATATTAGTTTTTACAGGCTAGAATCGAAGTCGACATTCTAATAGTCTACATATGTTCATCACTTCTGGCCATTCAACCAATCAATTCCTTTCATATTATAATTGTTTATAGAAAAAAATTGTTACTTAATCTTTTTAGGATACTGCAAATAGTATAGTGCAATTAATCCAAACTAATATAATAAATGCGAAAGTAAATCTGTCTGTCTGCTTTTCTTCACGCCTAAACTACGGAACCGACTGGTACAGAAATAAGATACACAAGTAAGATTTTCAAATGTTTATATAGGTTCGCAGATCGGAGACGATGTATATTTCGAGAGAGTCCTATACGAAGGCACTGTTCAGGATAATGACGTCCAACACGAAGAAATCAGAATATTTGGCTTCGATGGAACATCTGTTGAGTTACATGGAGGTACGTAGAGGAATGTTAATTGACATGCGAAAATCGTCCAGCCCTATGTTATAATATTTTACCCAACCCGGGAAACAAATATTCTTCTTGTTTGTGCAACCTATAAACATGCAAGAGCTAAGTTTCGGCATGTTTAATAAAATCGTATCAATCAAGTACATCTGTCGTTACTAACGTCTTTCTAACAAATAGCTCAGTCTACATCATTAACAAACAAAAATATTTTTTTCAATCGTTTCTATATTCAGAATTGCATTTTTACTTCTTCAAGAAGATTTGGATATTTAAAAGGCTATAGGAAATAAAACACTAAACCCATTGGATTGAAGAAACGATTAACCCGTGATATGTTGGAGCGCAGATCTACGCGAGACACAATGCGTTTTCTATTGTGTACCGGAAATACCGGAGCAAGGGAAAGACCGGGGTGGTTTTAGTGCACTCCACAGTTAGAAATGTATGACTTTCCTTTGACAAAGTCTTAAATGTAAATATTATATGTGAATATTGTATTTTCAGAAAACTCGAACTTGTTCAAGGCGGAAGCGACGAACGGGCTGGTATCGGTGAGACCGGATGGATCACTGAACCTCCCCCCTGGCATCACCCGCGTAGCCCTTGAGCTCCACGTAGGAAGTGCAAGAGCTGTATTACTGCTCAATGTCAGGGAATCAGGTAACTATTGTTTAAATAGGATATATCGCAGAATTCAGTGACACCTAACCACTTTTCTTTTCCCTCATCGTTGTCCCCAAATTCGAGATATTGAAAGACGAAAACGAACGAAAAACTCAATATTCGTTTTTACAGGCTAGAATCGAAGTCGACATTCTAATAATCTACATATGTTCATCACTTCTGGCCATTCAACCAATCAATTCCTTTCATATTATAATTGTTTATAGAAAAAAATTGTTACTTAATCTTTTTAGGATACTGCAAATAGTATAGTGCAATTAATCCAAACTAATATAATAAATGCGAAAGTAAATCTGTCTGTCTGCTTTTCTTCACGCCTAAACTACGGAACCGACTGGTACAGAAATAAGATACACAAGTAAGATTTTCAAATGTTTATATAGGTTCGCAGATCGGAGACGATGTATATTTCGAGAGAGTCCTATACGAAGGCACTGTTCAGGATAATGACGTCCAACACGAAGAAATCAGAATATTTGGCTTCGATGGAACATCTGTTGAGTTACATGGAGGTACGTAGAGGAATGTTAATTGACATGCGAAAATCGTCCAGCCCTATGTTATAATATTTTACCCAACCCGGGAAACAAAATATTCTTCTTGTTTGTGCAACCTTTAAACATGCAAGAGCTAAGTTTCGGAATGTTTAATGAAATCGTATCAATCAAGTACATCTGTCGTTACTAACGTCTCTCTAACAAATAGCTCAGTCTACAAAGTTTTGTAATTCAGAAGTGTTCAAGTGTTTACCAATTTTAACAACAACGATCAAACGGTGTCAAGACACACAAATGTATTCTTTACACCGTGTTCTAACTATATCTCTTTGATCTAAGTAACTTTAAACGATAAAGAAAAATATATTGAGGAACAATCATCATTAAATAGGTAACAAAAATATTTTTTTTTCAATCGTTTCTATATTCAGAGTTTCATTTTTACTTCTTCAAGAAGATTTGGATATTTAAAGGCTATAGGAAATAAAACACTAAACCCATTGGATTGAAGGAACGATTAACCCGTGATATGTTGGAGCGCAGATCTACGCGAGACACAATGCGTTTTCTATTGTATACTGGAAATACCGGAGCAAGGGAAAGACCGGGGTGGTTTTAGTGCACTCCACAATTAGAAATGTATGACTTTCCTTTGACAAAGTCTTAAATGTAAATATTATATGTGAATATTGTATTTTCAGAAAACTCGAACTTGTTCAAGGCGGAAGCGACGAACGGGCTGGTATCGGTGAGACCGGATGGATTACTGAACCTCCCCCCTGGCATCACCCGCGTAGCCCTTGAGCTCCACGTAGGAAGTGCAAGAGCTGTATTACTTCTCAATGTCAAGGAATCAGGTAACTATTGTTTAAATAGGATGTATCGCAGAATTCAGTGACACCTAGCCACTTTTCTTTTCCCTCATCGTTGTCCCCAAATTCGAGATAGTGAAAGACGAAAACGAACGAAAAACTCAATATTAGTTTTTACAGGCTAGAATCGAAGTCGACATTCTAATAGTCTACATATGTTCATCACTTCTGGCCATTCAACCAATCAATTCCTTTCATATTATAATTGTTTATAGAAAAAAATTGTTACTTAATCTTTTTAGGATACTGCAAATAGTATAGTGCAATTAATCCAAACTAATATAATAAATGCGAAAGTAAATCTGTCTGTCTGCTTTTCTTCACGCCTAAACTACGGAACCGACTGGTACAGAAATAAGATACACAAGTAAGATTTTCAAATGTTTATATAGGTTCGCAGATCGGAGACGATGTATATTTCGAGAGAGTCCTATACGAAGGCACTGTTCAGGATAATGACGTCCAACACGAAGAAATCAGAATATTTGGCTTCGATGGAACATCTGTTGAGTTACATGGAGGTACGTAGAGGAATGTTAATTGACATGCGATAATCGTCCAGCCCTATGTTATAATATTTTACCCAACCCGGGAAACAAATATTCTTCTTGTTTGTGCAACCTATAAACGTGCAAGAGCTAAGTTTCGGCATGTTTAATAAAATCGTATCAATCAAGTACATCTGTCGTTACTAACGTCTTTCTAACAAATAGCTCAGTCTACATCATTAACAAACAAAAATATTTTTTTCAATCGTTTCTATATTCAGAATTGCATTTTTACTTCTTCAAGAAGATTTGGATATTTAAAAGGCTATAGGAAATAAAACACTAAACCCATTGGATTGAAGAAACGATTAACCCGTGATATGTTGGAGCGCAGATCTACGCGAGACACAATGCGTTTTCTATTGTGTACCGGAAATACCGGAGCAAGGGAAAGACCGGGGTGGTTTTAGTGCACTCCACAGTTAGAAATGTATGACTTTCCTTTGACAAAGTCTTAAATGTAAATATTATATGTGAATATTGTATTTTCAGAAAACTCGAACTTGTTCAAGGCGGAAGCGACGAACGGGCTGGTATCGGTGAGACCGGATGGATCACTGAACCTCCCCCCTGGCATCACCCGCGTAGCCCTTGAGCTCCACGTAGGAAGTGCAAGAGCTGTATTACTGCTCAATGTCAGGGAATCAGGTAACTATTGTTTAAATAGGATATATCGCAGAATTCAGTGACACCTAACCACTTTTCTTTTCCCTCATCGTTGTCCCCAAATTCGAGATATTGAAAGACGAAAACGAACGAAAAACTCAATATTCGTTTTTACAGGCTAGAATCGAAGTCGACATTCTAATAATCTACATATGTTCATCACTTCTGGCCATTCAACCAATCAATTCCTTTCATATTATAATTGTTTAAAGAAAAAAATTGTTACTTAATCTTTTTAGGATACTGCAAATAGTATAGTGCAATTAATCCAAACTAATATAATAAATGCGAAAGTAACTCTGTCTGTCTGCTTTTCTTCACGCCTAAACTACGGAACCGACTGGTACAGAAATAAGATACACAAGTAAGATTTTCAAATGTTTATATAGGTTCGCAGATCGGAGACGATGTATATTTCGAGAGAGTCCTATACGAAGGCACTGTTCAGGATAATGACGTCCAACACGAAGAAATCAGAATATTTGGCTTCGATGGAACATCTGTCGAGTTACATGGAGGTACGTAGAGGAATGTTAATTGACATGCGATAATCGTCCAGCCCTATGTTATAATATTTTACCCAACCCGGGAAACAAATATTCTTCTTGTTTGTGCAACCTATAAACGTGCAAGAGCTAAGTTTCGGCATGTTTAATGAAATCGTATCAATCAAGTACATCTGTCGTTACTAACGTCTTTCTAACAAATAGCTCAGTCTACATCATTAACAAACAAAAATATTTTTTTCAATCGTTTCTATATTCAGAATTGCATTTTTACTTCTTCAAGAAGATTTGGATATTTAAAGGCTATAGGAAATAAAACACTAAACCCATTGGATTGAAGAAACAATTAACCCGTGATATGTTGGAGCGCAGATCTACGCGAGACACAATGCGTTTTCTATTGTGTACCGGAAATACCGGAGCAAGGGAAAGACCGGGGTGGTTTTAGTGCACTCCACAGTTAGAAATGTATGACTTTCCTTTGACAAAGTCTTAAATGTAAATATTATATGTGAATATTGTATTTTCAGAAAACTCGAACTTGTTCAAGGCGGAAGCGACGAACGGGCTGGTTTCGGTGAGACCGGATGGATCACTGAACCTCCCCCCTGGCATCACCCGCGTAGCCCTTGAGCTCCACGTAGGAAGTGCAAGAGCTGTATTACTGCTCAATGTCAGGGAATCAGGTAACTATTGTTTAAATAGGATATATCGCAGAATTCAGTGACACCTAACCACTTTTCTTTTCCCTCATCGTTGTCCCCAAATTCGAGATATTGAAAGACGAAAACGAACGAAAAACTCAATATTAGTTTTTACAGGCTAGAATCGAAGTCAACATTCTAATAATCTACATATGCTCATCACTTCTGGCCATTCAACCAATCAATTCCTTTCATATTACAATTGTTTAAAGAAAAAAATTGTTACTTAATCTTTTTAGGATACTGCAAATAGTATAGTGCAATTAATCCAAACTAATATAATAAATGCGAAAGTAAATCTGTCTGTCTGCTTTTCGTCACGCCTAAACTACGGAACCGACTGGTACAGAAATAAGATACACAAGTAAGATTTTCAAATGTTTATATAGGTTCGCAGATCGGAGACGATGTATATTTCGAGAGAGTCCTATACGAAGGCACTGTTCAGGATAATGACGTCCAACACGAAGAAATCAGAATATTTGGCTTCGATGGAACATCTGTCGAGTTACATGGAGGTACGTAGAGGAATGTTAATTGACATGCGATAATCGTCCAGCCCTATGTTATAATATTTTACCCAACCCGGGAAACAAATATTCTTCTTGTTTGTGCAACCTATAAACGTGCAAGAGCTAAGTTTCGGCATGTTTAATGAAATCGTATCAATCAAGTACATCTGTCGTTACTAACGTCTTTCTAACAAATAGCTCAGTCTACATCATTAACAAACAAAAATATTTTTTTCAATCGTTTCTATATTCAGAATTGCATTTTTACTTCTTCAAGAAGATTTGGATATTTAAAGGCTATAGGAAATAAAACACTAAACCCATTGGATTGAAGAAACGATTAACCCGTGATATGTTGGAGCGCAGATCTACGCGAGACACAATGCGTTTTCTATTGTGTACCGGAAATACCGGAGCAAGGGAAAGACCGGGGTGGTTTTAGTGCACTCCACAGTTAGAAATGTATGACTTTCCTTTGACAAAGTCTTAAATGTAAATATTATATGTGAATATTGTATTTTCAGAAAACTCGAACTTGTTCAAGGCGGAAGCGACGAACGGGCTGGTTTCGGTGAGACCGGATGGATCACTGAACCTCCCCCCTGGCATCACCCGCGTAGCCCTTGAGCTCCACGTAGGAAGTGCAAGAGCTGTATTACTGCTCAATGTCAGGGAATCAGGTAACTATTGTTTAAATAGGATATATCGCAGAATTCAGTGACACCTAGCCACTTTTCTTTTCCCTCATCGTTGTCCCCAAATTCGAGATAGTGAAAGACGAAAACGAACGAAAAACTCAATATTCGTTTTTACAGGCTAGAATCGAAGTCGACATTCTAATAATCTACATATGCTCATCACTTCTGGTCATTCAACCAATCAATTCCTTTCATATTATAATTGTTTAAAGAAAAAAATTGTTACTTAATCTTTTTAGGATACTGCAAATAGTATAGTGCAATTAATCCAAACTAATATAATAAATGCGAAAGTAACTCTGTCTGTCTGCTTTTCGTCACGCCTAAACTACGGAACCGACTGGTACAGAAATAAGATACACAAGTAAGATTTTCAAATGTTTATATAGGTTCGCAGATCGGAGACGATGTATATTTCGAGAGAGTCCTATACGAAGGCACTGTTCAGGATAATGACGTCCAACACGAAGAAATCAGAATATTTGGCTTCGATGGAACATCTGTCGAGTTACATGGCGGTACGTAGAGGAATGTTAATTGACATGCGATAATCGTCCAGCCCTATGTTATAATATTTTACCCAACCCGGGAAACAAATATTCTTCTTGTTTGTGCAACCTATAAACGTGCAAGAGCTAAGTTTCGGCATGTTTAATGAAATCGTATCAATCAAGTACATCTGTCGTTACTAACGTCTTTCTAACAAATAGCTCAGTCTACATCATTAACAAACAAAAATATTTTTTTCAATCGTTTCTATATTCAGAATTGCATTTTTACTTCTTCAAGAAGATTTGGATATTTAAAGGCTATAGGAAATAAAACACTAAACCCATTGGATTGAAGAAACGATTAACCCGTGATATGTTGGAGCGCAGATCTACGCGAGACACAATGCGTTTTCTATTGTGTACCGGAAATACCGGAGCAAGGGAAAGACCGGGGTGGTTTTAGTGCACTCCACAGTTAGAAATGTATGACTTTCCTTTGACAAAGTCTTAAATGTAAATATTATATGTGAATATTGTATTTTCAGAAAACTCGAACTTGTTCAAGGCGGAAGCGACGAACGGGCTGGTATCGGTGAGACCGGATGGATCACTGAACCTCCCCCCTGGCATCACCCGCGTAGCCCTTGAGCTCCACGTAGGAAGTGCAAGAGCTGTATTACTGCTCAATGTCAGGGAATCAGGTAACTATTGTTTAAATAGGATATATCGCAGAATTCAGTGACACCTAGCCACTTTTCTTTTCCCTCATTGTTGTCCCCAAATTCGAGATAGTGAAAGACGAAAACGAACTAAAAACTCAATATTCGTTTTTACAGGCTAGAATCGAAGTCGACATTCTAATAATCTACATATGCTCATCACTTCTGGTCATTCAACCAATCAATTCCTTTCATATTATAATTGTTTAAAGAAAAAAATTGTTACTTAATCTTTTTAGGATACTGCAAATAGTATAGTGCAATTAATCCAAACTAATATAATAAATGCGAAAGTAACTCTGTCTGTCTGCTTTTCTTCACGCCTAAACTACGGAACCGACTGGTACAGAAATAAGATACACAAGTAAGATTTTCAAATGTTTATATAGGTTCGCAGATCGGAGACGATGTATATTTCGAGAGAGTCCTATACGAAGGCACTGTTCAGGATAATGACGTCCAACACGAAGAAATCAGAATATTTGGCTTCGATGGAACATCTGTCGAGTTACATGGAGGTACGTAGAGGAATGTTAATTGACATGCGATAATCGTCCAGCCCTATGTTATAATATTTTACCCAACCCGGGAAACAAATATTCTTCTTGTTTGTGCAACCTATAAACGTGCAAGAGCTAAGTTTCGGCATGTTTAATGAAATCGTATCAATCAAGTACATCTGTCGTTACTAACGTCTTTCTAACAAATAGCTCAGTCTACATCATTAACAAACAAAAATATTTTTTTCAATCGTTTCTATATTCAGAATTGCATTTTTACTTCTTCAAGAAGATTTGGATATTTAAAGGCTATAGGAAATAAAACACTAAACCCATTGGATTGAAGAAACAATTAACCCGTGATATGTTGGAGCGCAGATCTACGCGAGACACAATGCGTTTTCTATTGTGTACCGGAAATACCGGAGCAAGGGAAAGACCGGGGTGGTTTTAGTGCACTCCACAGTTAGAAATGTATGACTTTCCTTTGACAAAGTCTTAAATGTAAATATTATATGTGAATATTGTATTTTCAGAAAACTCGAACTTGTTCAAGGCGGAAGCGACGAACGGGCTGGTTTCGGTGAGACCGGATGGATCACTGAACCTCCCCCCTGGCATCACCCGCGTAGCCCTTGAGCTCCACGTAGGAAGTGCAAGAGCTGTATTACTGCTCAATGTCAGGGAATCAGGTAACTATTGTTTAAATAGGATATATCGCAGAATTCAGTGACACCTAACCACTTTTCTTTTCCCTCATCGTTGTCCCCAAATTCGAGATATTGAAAGACGAAAACGAACGAAAAACTCAATATTAGTTTTTACAGGCTAGAATCGAAGTCAACATTCTAATAATCTACATATGCTCATCACTTCTGGCCATTCAACCAATCAATTCCTTTCATATTACAATTGTTTAAAGAAAAAAATTGTTACTTAATCTTTTTAGGATACTGCAAATAGTATAGTGCAATTAATCCAAACTAATATAATAAATGCGAAAGTAAATCTGTCTGTCTGCTTTTCGTCACGCCTAAACTACGGAACCGACTGGTACAGAAATAAGATACACAAGTAAGATTTTCAAATGTTTATATAGGTTCGCAGATCGGAGACGATGTATATTTCGAGAGAGTCCTATACGAAGGCACTGTTCAGGATAATGACGTCCAACACGAAGAAATCAGAATATTTGGCTTCGATGGAACATCTGTCGAGTTACATGGAGGTACGTAGAGGAATGTTAATTGACATGCGATAATCGTCCAGCCCTATGTTATAATATTTTACCCAACCCGGGAAACAAATATTCTTCTTGTTTGTGCAACCTATAAACGTGCAAGAGCTAAGTTTCGGCATGTTTAATGAAATCGTATCAATCAAGTACATCTGTCGTTACTAACGTCTTTCTAACAAATAGCTCAGTCTACATCATTAACAAACAAAAATATTTTTTTCAATCGTTTCTATATTCAGAATTGCATTTTTACTTCTTCAAGAAGATTTGGATATTTAAAGGCTATAGGAAATAAAACACTAAACCCATTGGATTGAAGAAACGATTAACCCGTGATATGTTGGAGCGCAGATCTACGCGAGACACAATGCGTTTTCTATTGTGTACCGGAAATACCGGAGCAAGGGAAAGACCGGGGTGGTTTTAGTGCACTCCACAGTTAGAAATGTATGACTTTCCTTTGACAAAGTCTTAAATGTAAATATTATATGTGAATATTGTATTTTCAGAAAACTCGAACTTGTTCAAGGCGGAAGCGACGAACGGGCTGGTTTCGGTGAGACCGGATGGATCACTGAACCTCCCCCCTGGCATCACCCGCGTAGCCCTTGAGCTCCACGTAGGAAGTGCAAGAGCTGTATTACTGCTCAATGTCAGGGAATCAGGTAACTATTGTTTAAATAGGATATATCGCAGAATTCAGTGACACCTAGCCACTTTTCTTTTCCCTCATCGTTGTCCCCAAATTCGAGATAGTGAAAGACGAAAACGAACGAAAAACTCAATATTCGTTTTTACAGGCTAGAATCGAAGTCGACATTCTAATAATCTACATATGCTCATCACTTCTGGTCATTCAACCAATCAATTCCTTTCATATTATAATTGTTTAAAGAAAAAAATTGTTACTTAATCTTTTTAGGATACTGCAAATAGTATAGTGCAATTAATCCAAACTAATATAATAAATGCGAAAGTAACTCTGTCTGTCTGCTTTTCTTCACGCCTAAACTACGGAACCGACTGGTACAGAAATAAGATACACAAGTAAGATTTTCAAATGTTTATATAGGTTCGCAGATCGGAGACGATGTATATTTCGAGAGAGCCCTATACGAAGGCACTGTTCAGGATAATGACGTCCAACACGAAGAAATCAGAATATTTGGCTTCGATGGAACATCTGTCGAGTTACATGGAGGTACGTAGAGGAATGTTAATTGACATGCGATAATCGTCCAGCCCTATGTTATAATATTTTACCCAACCCGGGAAACAAATATTCTTCTTGTTTGTGCAACCTATAAACGTGCAAGAGCTAAGTTTCGGCATGTTTAATGAAATCGTATCAATCAAGTACATCTGTCGTTACTAACGTCTTTCTAACAAATAGCTCAGTCTACATCATTAACAAACAAAAATATTTTTTTCAATCGTTTCTATATTCAGAATTGCATTTTTACTTCTTCAAGAAGATTTGGATATTTAAAGGCTATAGGAAATAAAACACTAAACCCATTGGATTGAAGAAACAATTAACCCGTGATATGTTGGAGCGCAGATCTACGCGAGACACAATGCGTTTTCTATTGTGTACCGGAAATACCGGAGCAAGGGAAAGACCGGGGTGGTTTTAGTGCACTCCACAGTTAGAAATGTATGACTTTCCTTTGACAAAGTCTTAAATGTAAATATTATATGTGAATATTGTATTTTCAGAAAACTCGAACTTGTTCAAGGCGGAAGCGACGAACGGGCTGGTTTCGGTGAGACCGGATGGATCACTGAACCTCCCCCCTGGCATCACCCGCGTAGCCCTTGAGCTCCACGTAGGAAGTGCAAGAGCTGTATTACTGCTCAATGTCAGGGAATCAGGTAACTATTGTTTAAATAGGATATATCGCAGAATTCAGTGACACCTAACCACTTTTCTTTTCCCTCATCGTTGTCCCCAAATTCGAGATATTGAAAGACGAAAACGAACGAAAAACTCAATATTAGTTTTTACAGGCTAGAATCGAAGTCAACATTCTAATAATCTACATATGCTCATCACTTCTGGCCATTCAACCAATCAATTCCTTTCATATTACAATTGTTTAAAGAAAAAAATTGTTACTTAATCTTTTTAGGATACTGCAAATAGTATAGTGCAATTAATCCAAACTAATATAATAAATGCGAAAGTAAATCTGTCTGTCTGCTTTTCGTCACGCCTAAACTACGGAACCGACTGGTACAGAAATAAGATACACAAGTAAGATTTTCAAATGTTTATATAGGTTCGCAGATCGGAGACGATGTATATTTCGAGAGAGTCCTATACGAAGGCACTGTTCAGGATAATGACGTCCAACACGAAGAAATCAGAATATTTGGCTTCGATGGAACATCTGTCGAGTTACATGGAGGTACGTAGAGGAATGTTAATTGACATGCGATAATCGTCCAGCCCTATGTTATAATATTTTACCCAACCCGGGAAACAAATATTCTTCTTGTTTGTGCAACCTATAAACGTGCAAGAGCTAAGTTTCGGCATGTTTAATGAAATCGTATCAATCAAGTACATCTGTCGTTACTAACGTCTTTCTAACAAATAGCTCAGTCTACATCATTAACAAACAAAAATATTTTTTTCAATCGTTTCTATATTCAGAATTGCATTTTTACTTCTTCAAGAAGATTTGGATATTTAAAGGCTATAGGAAATAAAACACTAAACCCATTGGATTGAAGAAACGATTAACCCGTGATATGTTGGAGCGCAGATCTACGCGAGACACAATGCGTTTTCTATTGTGTACCGGAAATACCGGAGCAAGGGAAAGACCGGGGTGGTTTTAGTGCACTCCACAGTTAGAAATGTATGACTTTCCTTTGACAAAGTCTTAAATGTAAATATTATATGTGAATATTGTATTTTCAGAAAACTCGAACTTGTTCAAGGCGGAAGCGACGAACGGGCTGGTTTCGGTGAGACCGGATGGATCACTGAACCTCCCCCCTGGCATCACCCGCGTAGCCCTTGAGCTCCACGTAGGAAGTGCAAGAGCTGTATTACTGCTCAATGTCAGGGAATCAGGTAACTATTGTTTAAATAGGATATATCGCAGAATTCAGTGACACCTAGCCACTTTTCTTTTCCCTCATCGTTGTCCCCAAATTCGAGATAGTGAAAGACGAAAACGAACGAAAAACTCAATATTCGTTTTTACAGGCTAGAATCGAAGTCGACATTCTAATAATCTACATATGCTCATCACTTCTGGTCATTCAACCAATCAATTCCTTTCATATTATAATTGTTTAAAGAAAAAAATTGTTACTTAATCTTTTTAGGATACTGCAAATAGTATAGTGCAATTAATCCAAACTAATATAATAAATGCGAAAGTAACTCTGTCTGTCTGCTTTTCGTCACGCCTAAACTACGGAACCGACTGGTACAGAAATAAGATACACAAGTAAGATTTTCAAATGTTTATATAGGTTCGCAGATCGGAGACGATGTATATTTCGAGAGAGTCCTATACGAAGGCACTGTTCAGGATAATGACGTCCAACACGAAGAAATCAGAATATTTGGCTTCGATGGAACATCTGTCGAGTTACATGGCGGTACGTAGAGGAATGTTAATTGACATGCGATAATCGTCCAGCCCTATGTTATAATATTTTACCCAACCCGGGAAACAAATATTCTTCTTGTTTGTGCAACCTATAAACGTGCAAGAGCTAAGTTTCGGCATGTTTAATGAAATCGTATCAATCAAGTACATCTGTCGTTACTAACGTCTTTCTAACAAATAGCTCAGTCTACATCATTAACAAACAAAAATATTTTTTTCAATCGTTTCTATATTCAGAATTGCATTTTTACTTCTTCAAGAAGATTTGGATATTTAAAGGCTATAGGAAATAAAACACTAAACCCATTGGATTGAAGAAACGATTAACCCGTGATATGTTGGAGCGCAGATCTACGCGAGACACAATGCGTTTTCTATTGTGTACCGGAAATACCGGAGCAAGGGAAAGACCGGGGTGGTTTTAGTGCACTCCACAGTTAGAAATGTATGACTTTCCTTTGACAAAGTCTTAAATGTAAATATTATATGTGAATATTGTATTTTCAGAAAACTCGAACTTGTTCAAGGCGGAAGCGACGAACGGGCTGGTATCGGTGAGACCGGATGGATCACTGAACCTCCCCCCTGGCATCACCCGCGTAGCCCTTGAGCTCCACGTAGGAAGTGCAAGAGCTGTATTACTGCTCAATGTCAGGGAATCAGGTAACTATTGTTTAAATAGGATATATCGCAGAATTCAGTGACACCTAGCCACTTTTCTTTTCCCTCATTGTTGTCCCCAAATTCGAGATAGTGAAAGACGAAAACGAACTAAAAACTCAATATTCGTTTTTACAGGCTAGAATCGAAGTCGACATTCTAATAATCTACATATGCTCATCACTTCTGGTCATTCAACCAATCAATTCCTTTCATATTATAATTGTTTAAAGAAAAAAATTGTTACTTAATCTTTTTAGGATACTGCAAATAGTATAGTGCAATTAATCCAAACTAATATAATAAATGCGAAAGTAACTCTGTCTGTCTGCTTTTCTTCACGCCTAAACTACGGAACCGACTGGTACAGAAATAAGATACACAAGTAAGATTTTCAAATGTTTATATAGGTTCGCAGATCGGAGACGATGTATATTTCGAGAGAGTCCTATACGAAGGCACTGTTCAGGATAATGACGTCCAACACGAAGAAATCAGAATATTTGGCTTCGATGGAACATCTGTCGAGTTACATGGAGGTACGTAGAGGAATGTTAATTGACATGCGATAATCGTCCAGCCCTATGTTATAATATTTTACCCAACCCGGGAAACAAATATTCTTCTTGTTTGTGCAACCTATAAACGTGCAAGAGCTAAGTTTCGGCATGTTTAATGAAATCGTATCAATCAAGTACATCTGTCGTTACTAACGTCTTTCTAACAAATAGCTCAGTCTACATCATTAACAAACAAAAATATTTTTTTCAATCGTTTCTATATTCAGAATTGCATTTTTACTTCTTCAAGAAGATTTGGATATTTAAAGGCTATAGGAAATAAAACACTAAACCCATTGGATTGAAGAAACAATTAACCCGTGATATGTTGGAGCGCAGATCTACGCGAGACACAATGCGTTTTCTATTGTGTACCGGAAATACCGGAGCAAGGGAAAGACCGGGGTGGTTTTAGTGCACTCCACAGTTAGAAATGTATGACTTTCCTTTGACAAAGTCTTAAATGTAAATATTATATGTGAATATTGTATTTTCAGAAAACTCGAACTTGTTCAAGGCGGAAGCGACGAACGGGCTGGTTTCGGTGAGACCGGATGGATCACTGAACCTCCCCCCTGGCATCACCCGCGTAGCCCTTGAGCTCCACGTAGGAAGTGCAAGAGCTGTATTACTGCTCAATGTCAGGGAATCAGGTAACTATTGTTTAAATAGGATATATCGCAGAATTCAGTGACACCTAACCACTTTTCTTTTCCCTCATCGTTGTCCCCAAATTCGAGATATTGAAAGACGAAAACGAACGAAAAACTCAATATTAGTTTTTACAGGCTAGAATCGAAGTCAACATTCTAATAATCTACATATGCTCATCACTTCTGGCCATTCAACCAATCAATTCCTTTCATATTACAATTGTTTAAAGAAAAAAATTGTTACTTAATCTTTTTAGGATACTGCAAATAGTATAGTGCAATTAATCCAAACTAATATAATAAATGCGAAAGTAAATCTGTCTGTCTGCTTTTCGTCACGCCTAAACTACGGAACCGACTGGTACAGAAATAAGATACACAAGTAAGATTTTCAAATGTTTATATAGGTTCGCAGATCGGAGACGATGTATATTTCGAGAGAGTCCTATACGAAGGCACTGTTCAGGATAATGACGTCCAACACGAAGAAATCAGAATATTTGGCTTCGATGGAACATCTGTCGAGTTACATGGAGGTACGTAGAGGAATGTTAATTGACATGCGATAATCGTCCAGCCCTATGTTATAATATTTTACCCAACCCGGGAAACAAATATTCTTCTTGTTTGTGCAACCTATAAACGTGCAAGAGCTAAGTTTCGGCATGTTTAATGAAATCGTATCAATCAAGTACATCTGTCGTTACTAACGTCTTTCTAACAAATAGCTCAGTCTACATCATTAACAAACAAAAATATTTTTTTCAATCGTTTCTATATTCAGAATTGCATTTTTACTTCTTCAAGAAGATTTGGATATTTAAAGGCTATAGGAAATAAAACACTAAACCCATTGGATTGAAGAAACGATTAACCCGTGATATGTTGGAGCGCAGATCTACGCGAGACACAATGCGTTTTCTATTGTGTACCGGAAATACCGGAGCAAGGGAAAGACCGGGGTGGTTTTAGTGCACTCCACAGTTAGAAATGTATGACTTTCCTTTGACAAAGTCTTAAATGTAAATATTATATGTGAATATTGTATTTTCAGAAAACTCGAACTTGTTCAAGGCGGAAGCGACGAACGGGCTGGTTTCGGTGAGACCGGATGGATCACTGAACCTCCCCCCTGGCATCACCCGCGTAGCCCTTGAGCTCCACGTAGGAAGTGCAAGAGCTGTATTACTGCTCAATGTCAGGGAATCAGGTAACTATTGTTTAAATAGGATATATCGCAGAATTCAGTGACACCTAGCCACTTTTCTTTTCCCTCATCGTTGTCCCCAAATTCGAGATAGTGAAAGACGAAAACGAACGAAAAACTCAATATTCGTTTTTACAGGCTAGAATCGAAGTCGACATTCTAATAATCTACATATGCTCATCACTTCTGGTCATTCAACCAATCAATTCCTTTCATATTATAATTGTTTAAAGAAAAAAATTGTTACTTAATCTTTTTAGGATACTGCAAATAGTATAGTGCAATTAATCCAAACTAATATAATAAATGCGAAAGTAACTCTGTCTGTCTGCTTTTCGTCACGCTTAAACTACGGAACCGACTGGTACAGAAATAAGATACACAAGTAAGATTTTCAAATGTTTATATAGGTTCGCAGATCGGAGACGATGTATATTTCGAGAGAGTCCTATACGAAGGCACTGTTCAGGATAATGACGTCCAACACGAAGAAATCAGAATATTTGGCTTCGATGGAACATCTGTCGAGTTACATGGAGGTACGTAGAGGAATGTTAATTGACATGCGATAATCGTCCAGCCCTATGTTATAATATTTTACCCAACCCGGGAAACAAATATTCTTCTTGTTTGTGCAACCTATAAACGTGCAAGAGCTAAGTTTCGGCATGTTTAATGAAATCGTATCAATCAAGTACATCTGTCGTTACTAACGTCTTTCTAACAAATAGCTCAGTCTACATCATTAACAAACAAAAATATTTTTTTCAATCGTTTCTATATTCAGAATTGCATTTTTACTTCTTCAAGAAGATTTGGATATTTAAAGGCTATAGGAAATAAAACACTAAACCCATTGGATTGAAGAAACGATTAACCCGTGATATGTTGGAGCGCAGATCTACGCGAGACACAATGCGTTTTCTATTGTGTACCGGAAATACCGGAGCAAGGGAAAGACCGGGGTGGTTTTAGTGCACTCCACAGTTAGAAATGTATGACTTTCCTTTGACAAAGTCTTAAATGTAAATATTATATGTGAATATTGTATTTTCAGAAAACTCGAACTTGTTCAAGGCGGAAGCGACGAACGGGCTGGTATCGGTGAGACCGGATGGATCACTGAACCTCCCCCCTGGCATCACCCGCGTAGCCCTTGAGCTCCACGTAGGAAGTGCAAGAGCTGTATTACTGCTCAATGTCAGGGAATCAGGTAACTATTGTTTAAATAGGATATATCGCAGAATTCAGTGACACCTAGCCACTTTTCTTTTCCCTCATCGTTGTCCCCAAATTCGAGATAGTGAAAGACGAAAACGAACTAAAAACTCAATATTCGTTTTTACAGGCTAGAATCGAAGTCGACATTCTAATAATCTACATATGCTCATCACTTCTGGTCATTCAACCAATCAATTCCTTTCATATTATAATTGTTTAAAGAAAAAAATTGTTACTTAATCTTTTTAGGATACTGCAAATAGTATAGTGCAATTAATCCAAACTAATATAATAAATGCGAAAGTAAATCTGTCTGTCTGCTTTTCTTCACGCCTAAACTACGGAACCGACTGGTACAGAAATAAGATACACAAGTAAGATTTTCAAATGTTTATATAGGTTCGCAGATCGGAGACGATGTATATTTCGAGAGAGTCCTATACGAAGGCACTGTTCAGGATAATGACGTCCAACACGAAGAAATCAGAATATTTGGCTTCGATGGAACATCTGTCGAGTTACATGGAGGTACGTAGAGGAATGTTAATTGACATGCGATAATCGTCCAGCCCTATGTTATAATATTTTACCCAACCCGGGAAACAAATATTCTTCTTGTTTGTGCAACCTATAAACGTGCAAGAGCTAAGTTTCGGCATGTTTAATGAAATCGTATCAATCAAGTACATCTGTCGTTACTAACGTCTTTCTAACAAATAGCTCAGTCTACATCATTAACAAACAAAAATATTTTTTTCAATCGTTTCTATATTCAGAATTGCATTTTTACTTCTTCAAGAAGATTTGGATATTTAAAGGCTATAGGAAATAAAACACTAAACCCATTGGATTGAAGAAACGATTAACCCGTGATATGTTGGAGCGCAGATCTACGCGAGACACAATGCGTTTTCTATTGTGTACCGGAAATACCGGAGCAAGGGAAAGACCGGGGTGGTTTTAGTGCACTCCACAGTTAGAAATGTATGACTTTCCTTTGACAAAGTCTTAAATGTAAATATTATATGTGAATATTGTATTTTCAGAAAACTCGAACTTGTTCAAGGCGGAAGCGACGAACGGGCTGGTTTCGGTGAGACCGGATGGATCACTGAACCTCCCCCCTGGCATCACCCGCGTAGCCCTTGAGCTCCACGTAGGAAGTGCAAGAGCTGTATTACTGCTCAATGTCAGGGAATCAGGTAACTATTGTTTAAATAGGATATATCGCAGAATTCAGTGACACCTAACCACTTTTCTTTTCCCTCATCGTTGTCCCCAAATTCGAGATATTGAAAGACGAAAACGAACGAAAAACTCAATATTAGTTTTTACAGGCTAGAATCGAAGTCAACATTCTAATAATCTACATATGCTCATCACTTCTGGCCATTCAACCAATCAATTCCTTTCATATTACAATTGTTTAAAGAAAAAAATTGTTACTTAATCTTTTTAGGATACTGCAAATAGTATAGTGCAATTAATCCAAACTAATATAATAAATGCGAAAGTAAATCTGTCTGTCTGCTTTTCGTCACGCCTAAACTACGGAACCGACTGGTACAGAAATAAGATACACAAGTAAGATTTTCAAATGTTTATATAGGTTCGCAGATCGGAGACGATGTATATTTCGAGAGAGTCCTATACGAAGGCACTGTTCAGGATAATGACGTCCAACACGAAGAAATCAGAATATTTGGCTTCGATGGAACATCTGTCGAGTTACATGGAGGTACGTAGAGGAATGTTAATTGACATGCGATAATCGTCCAGCCCTATGTTATAATATTTTACCCAACCCGGGAAACAAATATTCTTCTTGTTTGTGCAACCTATAAACGTGCAAGAGCTAAGTTTCGGCATGTTTAATGAAATCGTATCAATCAAGTACATCTGTCGTTACTAACGTCTTTCTAACAAATAGCTCAGTCTACATCATTAACAAACAAAAATATTTTTTTCAATCGTTTCTATATTCAGAATTGCATTTTTACTTCTTCAAGAAGATTTGGATATTTAAAGGCTATAGGAAATAAAACACTAAACCCATTGGATTGAAGAAACGATTAACCCGTGATATGTTGGAGCGCAGATCTACGCGAGACACAATGCGTTTTCTATTGTGTACCGGAAATACCGGAGCAAGGGAAAGACCGGGGTGGTTTTAGTGCACTCCACAGTTAGAAATGTATGACTTTCCTTTGACAAAGTCTTAAATGTAAATATTATATGTGAATATTGTATTTTCAGAAAACTCGAACTTGTTCAAGGCGGAAGCGACGAACGGGCTGGTATCGGTGAGACCGGATGGATCACTGAACCTCCCCCCTGGCATCACCCGCGTAGCCCTTGAGCTCCACGTAGGAAGTGCAAGAGCTGTATTACTGCTCAATGTCAGGGAATCAGGTAACTATTGTTTAAATAGGATATATCGCAGAATTCAGTGACACCTAGCCACTTTTCTTTTCCCTCATCGTTGTCCCCAAATTCGAGATAGTGAAAGACGAAAACGAACTAAAAACTCAATATTCGTTTTTACAGGCTAGAATCGAAGTCGACATTCTAATAATCTACATATGCTCATCACTTCTGGTCATTCAACCAATCAATTCCTTTCATATTATAATTGTTTAAAGAAAAAAATTGTTACTTAATCTTTTTAGGATACTGCAAATAGTATAGTGCAATTAATCCAAACTAATATAATAAATGCGAAAGTAAATCTGTCTGTCTGCTTTTCTTCACGCCTAAACTACGGAACCGACTGGTACAGAAATAAGATACACAAGTAAGATTTTCAAATGTTTATATAGGTTCGCAGATCGGAGACGATGTATATTTCGAGAGAGTCCTATACGAAGGCACTGTTCAGGATAATGACGTCCAACACGAAGAAATCAGAATATTTGGCTTCGATGGAACATCTGTCGAGTTACATGGAGGTACGTAGAGGAATGTTAATTGACATGCGATAATCGTCCAGCCCTATGTTATAATATTTTACCCAACCCGGGAAACAAATATTCTTCTTGTTTGTGCAACCTATAAACGTGCAAGAGCTAAGTTTCGGCATGTTTAATGAAATCGTATCAATCAAGTACATCTGTCGTTACTAACGTCTTTCTAACAAATAGCTCAGTCTACATCATTAACAAACAAAAATATTTTTTTCAATCGTTTCTATATTCAGAATTGCATTTTTACTTCTTCAAGAAGATTTGGATATTTAAAGGCTATAGGAAATAAAACACTAAACCCATTGGATTGAAGAAACAATTAACCCGTGATATGTTGGAGCGCAGATCTACGCGAGACACAATGCGTTTTCTATTGTGTACCGGAAATACCGGAGCAAGGGAAAGACCGGGGTGGTTTTAGTGCACTCCACAGTTAGAAATGTATGACTTTCCTTTGACAAAGTCTTAAATGTAAATATTATATGTGAATATTGTATTTTCAGAAAACTCGAACTTGTTCAAGGCGGAAGCGACGAACGGGCTGGTTTCGGTGAGACCGGATGGATCACTGAACCTCCCCCCTGGCATCACCCGCGTAGCCCTTGAGCTCCACGTAGGAAGTGCAAGAGCTGTATTACTGCTCAATGTCAGGGAATCAGGTAACTATTGTTTAAATAGGATATATCGCAGAATTCAGTGACACCTAGCCACTTTTCTTTTCCCTCATCGTTGTCCCCAAATTCGAGATAGTGAAAGACGAAAACGAACGAAAAACTCAATATTCGTTTTTACAGGCTAGAATCGAAGTCGACATTCTAATAATCTACATATGCTCATCACTTCTGGTCATTCAACCAATCAATTCCTTTCATATTATAATTGTTTAAAGAAAAAAATTGTTACTTAATCTTTTTAGGATACTGCAAATAGTATAGTGCAATTAATCCAAACTAATATAATAAATGCGAAAGTAACTCTGTCTGTCTGCTTTTCTTCACGCCTAAACTACGGAACCGACTGGTACAGAAATAAGATACACAAGTAAGATTTTCAAATGTTTATATAGGTTCGCAGATCGGAGACGATGTATATTTCGAGAGAGTCCTATACGAAGGCACTGTTCAGGATAATGACGTCCAACACGAAGAAATCAGAATATTTGGCTTCGATGGAACATCTGTCGAGTTACATGGAGGTACGTAGAGGAATGTTAATTGACATGCGATAATCGTCCAGCCCTATGTTATAATATTTTACCCAACCCGGGAAACAAATATTCTTCTTGTTTGTGCAACCTATAAACGTGCAAGAGCTAAGTTCCGGCATGTTTAATGAAATCGTATTAATCAAGTACATCTGTCGTTACTAACGTCTTTCTAACAAATAGCTCAGTCTACATCATTAACAAACAAACATATTTTTTTCAATCGTTTCTATATTCAGAATTGCATTTTTACTTCTTCAAGAAGATTTGGATATTTAAAGGCTATAGGAAATAAAACACTAAACCCATTGGATTGAAGGAACGATTAACTCGTGATATGTTGGAGCGCAGATCTACGCGAGACACAATGCGTTTTCTATTGTGTACCGGAAATACCGGAGCAAGGGAAAGACCGGGGTGGTTTTAGTGCACTCCACAGTTAGAAATGTATGACTTTCCTTTGTCAAAGTCTTAAATGTAAATATTATACGTGAATATTGTATTTTCAGAAAACTCGTACTTGTTCAAGGCGGAAGCGACGAACGGGCTGGTATCGGTGAGACCGGATGGATTACTGAACCTCCCCCCTGGCATCACCCGCGTAGCTCTTGAGCTCCACGTAGGAAGTGCAAGAGCTGTATTACTGCTCAATGTCAGGGAATCAGGTAACTATTGTTTAAATAGGATATATCGCAGAATTCAGTGACACCTAACCACTTTTCTTTTCCCTCATCGTTGTCCCCAAATTCGAGATATTGAAAGACGAAAACGAATTAAAAACCCAATATTAGTTTTTACAGGTTAGAATCGAAATCGGCATTCTAAGATGTTATATCACTTCTGACTATTCAGGCAATATAGCAGCAGCTACTAAATAAGTATTTTCGAAGAAGGGTAACTAACCATCACCGTCTTCGTGCCCTTGTCCCGTTCTATTTGAGGTCGGCGCAATATGTTTTTTCTTCCATTCTGTCCTGTCACCCGTCACGCTATCACTTACTCCTTTATCTTCCATATCAGTTCTCACACAATCCATCCATATTTTCTTTGGTCTCCCTCTCCCTCTCCATCCCTCCACATTTATACTCATGGATTTTTTTGGAACATGCGTGTCATCCCTCCTTTTTACATACCAAGACAAACGGCTCCCTTTCAACTTTTCAGTCACTAGCGCCATTTTCAAACTTCCTCTTATATACTCATTTCTCACTTTATCTAGTTTCGTCATACCACACATCATTCTCATGTCTGCTACATGCATCTCCACATTCTCATTTCTGCTACATGCAATCGCCTTTCATACGTCTTTTTCAGAGCCCAACATTCTGACCCATATAATAGGACAAGCCTTATCACGGACTTGTAGATTTTACCCTTCAATCTGAGGGGCATCCGTAGGTCGCAAGTTGTTCCAGTGACCTGTCGCAATTTCATTCATCCTGAGTTGATCCGATGTGCCACGTCTCGGTCTATCTCACCATTCCCTCGGATAAGCGACAAGACAAGACACAAGGTACCGACAATCGGAACAGGTTGGTATGAGCGTTCCGGCGAGAGCTATGGCCACAGGACTAGAGAGACCGCCAAAATCGCAGAACAGGTTCTCTGTTTTAGTTCTGCTTAATTTTAGGCCAATACTCTCCAGTCTCTGCCACCACACCTCCAATCTGCTCTCGACCTCAAGGGCACTCTCATCAACCAGCACAATATCATCGGCAAACAGTATACGCCAGGGAGCCTCCTCCTGAATGTCTGACGTCAAAGCGTCCAGTATTATCAGGAAGAGGTAAGGGCTGAGAGCCGATCCCTGGTGTGAACCCCATTGATGTTGTTAGTGTTGCCCGCTGCAGACCGGACTTATGTACTGCAGCGACTACACATTGATCGGATCAACTGCACTGCATATTTACCAGGCACACCTTTCTCCTTAAGGGCCCATCACAGAACCTCACGAAGTATCCGGTCGTATGCCTTTTCGAGGTCAACGAAGACCATGTGCACCTCTGTTTTTTTCGCACAACCGGCGTATAGCAAATATGGCATCTGCTGTACCACGACCAGGCATAAAACCGAATTGGTTCTGTGAAATTTCACTGTCTTCTCTCAACCGCCATTCAATAACTTTATCCCATACTTTCATGGTATGCGACATTAGCTTTATTCCTCTATAATTGTTGCACTCAAGCACATCACCTTTGTTTATAAAGATGGGCACCATAGAACTGTTGCACCATTCATCAGGTATGGCTTCTTCTTGCAACAATTTATTTAAGAACAAAGCCAACCACACCCATCCATCTACTCTTAATAACTTCCACACCTCAACTGGTATTCCATCTGGGCCAATGGCTTTACCATTTTTCATTCCATTCGCTGCTACCCAGATGTCCTCCATACTAACCATTCTCACTAACTCCACATTCACTGGTTTATTCTCTAAAACCCCACAATTATTTTCCTCATTCATAAGTCTTTCAAAATATTCCTTCAGTCTTCCTTTGATTGTGTCATTATCCGATAGAACCATTCCACTTTCATCTCTTACACATCTTACTTTCTTTCCCTCATTCTAGAGAGCCGACACAGCTCTTTCTGGCCTGCAGGACTGTCTAATGTATCATATAGTTTGTCCTGGGCTTTTGCAATTGCCACGACTTTCTTTGCTTTTTTCTTTAAAGCATCTTACTCACTCTTTCTTTCAGCTTCCAAACTAACATTACCTGTTTGTACACACTGCCTTTCCTTGAACTTTTCTTCTTTTCTTTCAATACATTCTGATCTCTTGTTGACGCACCATGTATCTCTATCTATTCTGCCCTTTCCTTTCGTCTCTCCCAAAATATCTTTCACTGCCTTATACAATACTGATGTTTATACATCTTGGGCAGACGGTTATTTCCTCAAGAATTATTCAGAAATGTATATAATATATGTTGTAGTAAATATGTATAATATATGTTGTAAGTTCCAAAATATATAGGTCCAAACGTATTGTTATACATTCATTTGCCAAAAACCAAGCAACTAAATTTGCAGCATTTAAGCAACTAAACATTGTCATCATTGACCTGTAGGTACTTAACTGATCTGGTTATCGTATCTACTATTACCCCTATTTTATTTTATAAGTGCCTAGTGTTTAAATTAAACACGTGTGTTCTAAATAATAGTTAGGTTGTCATTTCAATCTGTAAAGTTGCATATTTTATAGATACGGGGTGTTATCAGTTAAATATGGATTAACTTATCAATTCCTTGAATTGCTTTGCAAAGCCTGCCAATGCAGTCAACATTTACTTAATACCTAACATTTTTGGTTCTTTGAATTGTAACATTACCAAGTGATTTCGTACCTATTTACGTCGCGGGATATACATAAGTGCACGTATTGGCGCGCCATCGCCATGTCGAGCAGGTGTTCCATAGGGTTCGGTATTGGGACCTCTTCTGTAGAAAATTGAATACGGCTCTATGCCGAGGGAGAGGAAGTCGTAATGTCCAACTTATTTATATCGATAAAATATTTACTAAGAGCTGTTTTAGACCCAAACTCGAGTCATTATACCAACGTGTTACTTATTTGTAACACGTCTTTGTCAACCAAGTGACTTTGATTTACCTACAAACTATAAGCAGGTGTTTCTTAAGCTTCGATTTTTTTATATTTTTAGAAGTTCCTGGACCTTCAGTGGAATTTTCTTCGGAGTCCTATGCAGTGTCGATATCTTCAACACAGACTGGCCTCGTGGGTCGAGTGTCAGCTACAGCTAGCAATAATGAAGCAATCGCGTACTCTCTTAGAACGGACAATGGTAAGTTATTTTTACTATCTGATAACTAACAAATGACTATTAGCAAAAAATCCGTTGGTTAAATAATTTATAAGACATCGAAGAAAAACTTCAATCCATAACATATTTCACATAAGTTACTGTTAGGCAATTACATCTCCAGTGATATGTCTTTCTTAATCGAAACCCGGGAAGCAACCCCTAAACCAACGAGGTTATGTAGAATTTTTAAACCTTTTTTATGTTTACAAGTTTACAACATAAATATGAAACGCGAAAGTTTGTATATTTTTTATGTTTTATCGCCAGCATTGTTTACATATGGTTCACATAGTTCTTGGGCTTATTATATTTTATTAAAAAATATGCCGATTTATTTCTGCAGTCATTTATTTCAATCTCGGTGTACTTATGCCGCATACAAGAGTTAAAAAAGATTATTTTAATAAAAATAAATGATGGATAAGACTTTAATCAGAACCGGTTTCTACTACAGGCTTAGTTAATATATTAAATATTTTATAATTTTCCGAGTACAAAACCGGAACTAACCTTTTTGGTGGGTAGGAAGGTCTGTAATATTCATGTGACTAAACATACGCGCCAGTACACTATGACTGAAAACCATTTCTTAAAGATATGAGAAACGGGTAGTAGGTATGAGGTAATGTTTTTTTTTAAATTTTATTGCAAACAAAAACGAAACGACTTTTTCAAATATGATTCTTATTATAAACATAAACTTTACAAAAAACATAATACTTTGATGCTATATTTCAAACTTTGCAAAATCTGTTTTGCATTTGAATAAACTTGCGGCCTCAATGGTAAAAGACAAAAGTTGTTTGTAATATTTCAACTTTATTATTCAAGAGAGGCGCCCTTAAGAAATTTATTATACTGAGTGTAAAATATTTTTCTTCTAGATTTACTCGGGTAAAATATCCCAACCGCATTAATTACCCAGTTTAATGTACCTACCAACATTCAGGTGCGGATCTGAGTGCTGCAAGATTGTCCTGACAAGAGTACACTCTTGTGAATATAAATTCATCATTATATCAGCCTATTGGTGCCTACTGCTGAGTAAAGGCCTCTTCAAACACAGAGAACGTTTGAGCATTAATCACCACGCTTGCTCAATGCTGGTTGGCGATTTAAAACTTATAATTGGAAATTATAAGTCCAGGTTTCCTTACGATATTTACCTTCACCAGTCAACAGACAGTGGTGTCTATAAATAATCATAGAAAGTACATATAACTCGGAAAAAGTCAATTTGGTACTTGCCAGATTTCGAACCCCCTCATGTATGAGAAGCGGGCTCTTTAACCTCCGGGCCACCACGACCACATATAAACAAAATGAATATAAATTATAGGAGCTATAATATACTCCACTTCTTAAGTAGTTTGGTACTCGAAGAGAGAAATCCGATACAAAATTATTTCAGTGAACGTATAAGCAGACAAAAGAAAGCATATCAATCCGCCAGTAAATCGATCTATAAGGATATCTTTTATAAATAGTTGTGTCACAAATTGATATCTGCTATACAATATTCGCTATCACATTACAATTACATCATTTTACTATTATGGCAGCCATGCTCCCCACAACATTAGGAGATCATTTACACAAAGCATTGAATTTCCCCCTTCACCGAAGAAAAGCTGACATGATGTGAATATTCTTTCGTTGACGTACGTTTGATAAATTCATGCCTATTAAATGAGCGGTGGATATATGACAAAGGTATGGATAAAATAAAAGTGTATAATTGATTGTCTTTCTTATGGAAAGGATATAAATGCGTTTCGCAAAAACCTCATGTCATCTCGTCCTGGGGTGCAGTTATACATATACATATAGTATGTGTATAATTATGTACTTGTCTTGTTTTGTGTAGATATACCTAATCAATGATAAATATCGTCCGACAATCTGGTATATGTCATCAGTAAGTCACAATAAAAAAGACACCTGAAATTTAGTGTTTTAAATATTAGGTTTAAAACTTAATGCTCTAAGTTGGTTCATTGTGCCCAAACGTGAATTTAGTGCGCGCCTAAAGTTCTTCAAAAGCAATTTTACTTTGCGAAGTAATTATTGTTCGCTGTTAGGCGTTAAGGTACCTATAGTAAATTCTTACTTTCACTATATATATATAAACAAAATGAATAATAGTTACGGCTATTGTGTCTCTAAAAAAAGAATATAAGTTTCCAAGTAGGCACTTGGGTACCTGTCATAACTTTTATGTGTAAAAATGTACCTAAACTTCTTAAGTATTTTACCTACAAGAATAATGCTTTCGAACTTCAACTGATAATTTTTTATTGCGCCTTTTCTAAAAAGATTGACTAAAGTACCATGCAGCAGACTTCACGTACTCCCTAGGATTAACTACAGTATTACCAGAAAAAACTTTGTGCCTCTTTTAAAATTAAAATGCTTTATAATCAAACTTGCTAGACAATAAAAATTGTGATTCAGCTAGCCCGCTTAATAGCTTTTAGCCTCGAAATATTTTCCAAAATTATCATTTTGTTTCAGCTCATCTAGTATCGCGGCTTTCTATAAACAATGAGGGCGAACTGCACTTGTCTACTCCGGCTGATAGTGGTGTTTACACTTTTCAAGTTATTGCTGCTACTGTTAATTCAGAAGCAATGGCCACGGCTACGGTACGAACTTCTTTGTATCCTCTATTTTTGTCAAATATGTAAAATAGTATGGCCTTTAGAATATAACCAAAACGTTTTCACGTTTTAATCGTCAATTAAGTTTCTATTTATTCTATAGGTACATCTTACAGTGCAAGAAACACCAGTGTGCGACGATCGTGGCATCGTAGTACCACCGTTAATTGTAATAGACAAAGATGAGGAAGAGGAGCACAGAAATCTTGTCGTACTTGATCCTACGCAACACGAAGGCTGCCGATACACTATGGCAAGCCGCTGGCCCACACAACAAACATGGCTCTACGCCGACGAAACTGGATTACATGCCAGAGCAATAGACAGAGAAGATAAATCTATAGCCTTCATGACCGTTTCACAAGTTCAAGTAGAGCTCATGTTACAATGTGACAACGATCCTGTACGGACAAAACGCTCGATACGTTCGTACGATTGGCTTGACCCCTACGAATACGGTAGCAATAAATGGATTCTCACAGAGTCGATCCCCTACAACTCCAGACGTACTTTAGTGAATCTGATAGTGAACGACATCAATGATAACGCTCCTATATTCGTCGGTAAAGAAAACGAACCAATTGCTGTCGGATATCCAAACGGTGAACTTGAAGAAAGAATATTACCCCGCTCTTTAGCGGAGTTACAGGTAAGTTTTATTATGCAAATGTTTTGTATATCTGAGACAAAAACGTCGAGAGTCGTAAACTGTGTGGTGCATTTATATTTTATTTTAAGTTCTCACGCTGTAACATGATTCACGTCTGGAAAAAGTTTTATCTTTGAATATAAAACCAGATGTCTTACCTGAGTAAGTCATTGCTGACGAAACCAACTGTATTAATGAGAAAGGTGTTTTTTCCAAGAAGGTTTGATGGTAATTTGATTCGGTTAATTTTTATAATATGACTAGTGAATTGTAAAGATGTCAATCTGATCTATCGTTTTAATTTTTTTAAATAGAAAGTGAAATAACATCAATTTAATTTTTTTAAAATCTAATTAGACCTTACCTGTTCAAACTAAAATTTAATAATTTTTAGTTTTAGAACCGACTTCTATTTATACATTATATTATATGTTTAAATAAATAACCAACATGAATGCCCTCAAATGTACACCTTGTCAGGTTTCTTATTATATTGTTGTTTAAACAGGCGACTGATGCAGATATAGGCATAAATGCAGCAATAAGGTACTCCAGCTCTGAAAGCGTGCTAGCTGTTGCACCAACTACAGGCTTTGTCCACGTACGAAGTGGTGCCAGTCTCCAGCACGACCAAATCCTCACTGTGACAGCCACTGACCAGAATGGAGAAGGACTGTCTGGAAATATTCAACTTATTGTAAGTTAAAATTATAATATTAATCAGCGCCCTCTGTTGGGCAATGTCTAAGCTATCTTCGATATGAGTTGTTTCAATAGATGTCGCTACTTATATTGTAGGAAGTTAATAAATATTTTGCATAATTTATCAATTTATTAATAAGTATCTGGTCAAAATGATAATCGTGATACCTAAATTAAGTTAGCGCCCTTCAATCCTCCATTAATCATTATTTGTTAGACCAATGCTATATAAGCTACTTACATAATATATTGTATAGTAGTGTCCAAATTAAATTACAAATAAATTAAGACCTACTATCTACACACAGTCACATGGTATCAACACAAATAATCATCACACTTATATATAACATTCGACAAAGGCCTTAAAAAGAATTCAAAATAGATAAATGAATAAATGTTCAGTTTTTATTGAGTTATCATTTATGAGATTTATTGGTATTATAAAATATATTGATATGTTTATACAGAACGATTTACGATATATACAAACTGGTGAGATAATATTAACATTGCCTACGAAAAAAATAAAAACTTTTCCTATCTGTCACTTAACACTATCAAAATTGGAAAGGGATGAATCAGAATCAGAAGTTTATTAGCTCTATATGTATGTAAGTACAGTATGTATAAGATGAACATCGGTAATTATATTATGAGTTCAGCTACATTTTACCTTACGTCGTGCAAATTATTACAACAATTAAAATCAGTTACTTAGTCATCAATAAAAAATAAAAAAAATATAAATAACAGTCAATTATCTTACAAAATGATAAATGAGTCATAGACATTATCCAAACACAGCCAAAACTTTCTATTTTTGTAAACTTATTTCTTCGGGTATGCGTAGAGAGCACTAAGACCCCAACTGCATTATAAAAAGATTAATTTTCTCATTGGGATTTCACATTCAATCTCATTTCATGAAGAATTCGTTGTTAAGACCCGGTCGCACTGTGGTGAACCTGTGACTGAACTATAAAAAAGAGTCGCGAAATATTCGGTTTCTTGTTTCACAAAACTATAGCCGCGCGCACTGACGATTACAAATCGCTAAGGCTCGAGCTAGTGTGGCCGAGTCCATAAGACAGATTCCTCAAGGAATATTGAACTTGAATTCCCTATGTTTAACGTCGTGGACATAACTAATCCTCACATAATCTGACAGTTATATTATTATAATGTTACTTAATTTTAAATCAGTTCCTACTATTATGTAAGTACTTTTGGTACCTACCTTACCACAGACTTTAATTGGCTGTTAACAACCGTGTGCGTACTTGATAAGCTCAAACGCATCATAAAAAATGAAAACAAGTTACGAACACCTAACGATAAGTTCATTTAGAAAAATATATTTTTTTTTTGTACAATAATTGCATAACATACCGACATGACGTTTGAAATTATGTACGGTGTCTGTGTAAGGTCGTTAGTTTACATTTTGGAACTAACCCAAGTTTACTTACAGGCTCTCTTTTGATGACTTTACACATCTGTAAATATAATTCATTTTTTAAATTTATTACAACCACTACAAGTAATTAGAAACTGGTCCATTTAGTTAAGAATTTATAGCTCCTGATAAGACATTACAAATCATTTTTTAAAAGGCAAAAAATATCCTGCTTTGGGCAATAACTTATACCGGACGGGACAACATCCTTATGTTGTTAAAAGAATCTTAATACACGCAAAAACTTAAAATTTTAATTATAATCTAATCTAATCATCATCATTAGAATTATTACATTTTTTATAACATTAATATTTAGTTCTTAAAGAATCGGTAATTACGAGTATATACTTAGTGCGTACTTTTCGTCGTTTTAAGTCCCATTGGTATAGGGAATTATTTTATGTAAATTTTAAAATTGAATTTTGTAAATGAAACATTACAAACTTATCGAAAGAACGAATGATCGATGATTGACCTCACATAATCGGCCACATTTGACGATACAATATGATAATTTAATCAACTTAACTTAATCAACGACACAATAATAGAATATTGTTTACAGCGAGTCGACCTTAAACTTTTCCTTAATTTATTACACTATAGTTGGCTATTCTGAAGGTATCTTTAGTAACCAGACCTATTTCAGATGTTTTGTCTTAAAAACTCGAAATCATGATAATGTTTCTATTTCCAGGTAAAACTATTGGATATAAACCACATAGCCGTGGTGACTGTTAGAGATGTGTTCCTAGACGATGAAAAAACAGTCTTAGCTCAGTTAAGTGATGCCGTCGGATATGAAGTCAAGGTTTTGAGGTCGGTTGTCGTATCTGATGACATAAATGAAGATGTCACTAGGCAAAAACGTGAAACTAACCCCAGAACTTCACTACAACTTTTTGTATATGGACTTGTCCAACAAGAACCTGTTGTAGTAAGTCAACTAGCCAGGTAAGAATATCAACAGTACCGTATTCATGGTTTTATTTATAACTGTATTAGAGATTGATAATTTAACAAAATAACCTTTTTACTCTCTTTGTAGCGATCTAAATAGTCAAGCCATCATCCAAAACATAGCCACCATCCCACTGGAAACTCATCTAGAAAATGGAAACATGGCATTGCAAAGTACAGTTGGCTTGTTAGTAGCCACAATAGTCCTGGGTGTTCTACTATTTGCAGCTCTTTGTGTTATAGCCGTTTGGTTCTTCTTGAGATGGTAAGTATAAATTTAATTTTAATCACAAATTAAGTTGTTCATTACGAAAACTAACTTTGATACAAATTTAATTACAGGAGAAAGAACAGAAATTACAATCAATTCTCTGATGACGCCAGTCTTGCATCAGCAAGAAATGCATCGCTTGGAGAACTGACGAAACCAGAAGAAGTCAGACCACGACTAAACATTGAAGAACTGAAGAGAAGCGAAAAGAGGTTACAAGAAAGATTGGCACAGGTTACCCCTATGGAACAGGTTACAGTAGAACCAATGCCAAGACAATTAGAGCCTCCTGCGGTAGCTATTTTAGATGTACCAGTGCCTGAACATAATACACCAATAGTGATACAATCAATTGATAAACTAAAAGATGCTGACGATGAGAGTGATAATGATGAATTTGGAGAAGTTAAAAAAGCACGTAGAAAATCCGTAGTCACATTCAATGAGAATGTTGAAAAAATTATTCATGTACAAGACGATGTTGAAGAAAGCGAAGGGGATGGCATTTTGACTGTGGATTCCGGTGATGCCGGTAGTAGTAGCACCGATGACATTACGGTTTACAGATTGTAATTTCAAAATCGGTAATGTAGAATAAATAATTTGTGAAAAAAACAAAATCTACTCATAAAAACATTCTACTCTATCAATCTGACTAATCTCTAGAAAGGTAAAGACTTCTTCTAAGTATACTCGACTATTTATAAATAAATATTTTTATATCATTTATTAATATGGGTTTTATTTAAAGAGATAAAAAATTTTAATTGATAGACTAAAATTTAAAGATATAGGACTTGAGCCTTATATTTTTAAAGAAAAATATTGATTTAATTATGTGTTTATCGTGTATCTAACCCTAACCGGTTCGGATAACTTATTTTGTATACTCGTTGTACTTAAATAAATTCCATGGGTCAAATTAGATTGTCAGATGATATAAATAGATTTTTACTAATTTATACTACGATCACGCTTATGTAGGTGTATTTCGTCTATTGTGTCATTAGCCCTACTGTATATACAAAATTTTGGACAATATTCTAAGTATTTTGAAGATCATCGAAACCAGTTAAAGCATTCGTGACAGTGCAACCTCAACCGAAGTAATTTTGTTACATTTAAATCTATAACATTTTGTGAACTAAAACATTGTTTCTAGCGAAACACTAGCGCAAATAAATTGTGTTGGGCGTTTCTTTTAACGGTTTTAAATTCGTTCACATTCTATTCGTAGGTAGATGTTATTCTGTCATGTATAATTTATTGTTAGCGTGACCTTATAGGCCATAGTCCAGTTTATATGGTGCTCGTTTGTTATAAAGTGTCTAATGTACCAGGATATTTGAGAAATGTTTGTTGTCGTCGATTCTCGAATGTTCTAGGGTTTTCTTGCGAGTCAACTTTCGACTGTTCAGCTCCAAACGTGTAACATAGTAATATTATGACTAATCTCGTTTTACAGTTATCGTCCGGTTAGCTGGTTTTTCGGCTACCTATAGGATCTTAATATTCAAGCCGCGGATTGAGATAGGATCTCTGTGACATTTTCAAACATGTCCGTTGACCGGGTAAAACAAAGCAAATTCGGTTCATGAAACCTACGCTCTCAGACACCTCTTACATTAAGCAGTACTCTATCATTGTATACGACCCTAAAACGGAAAGTAATTGATGTCATCACTCACTCGCTGTAAGACCAAAACTATGATTTATAAATTACTGAAACAAAAAATGCCTAAGATTTAAATGTCAATACCCAACGGCATTTTTTTCACATCTACTTGTCTCAAAACGTATTTGTACTATAAAGTTGATGGTAGGTATTGTTTCTAGAGACTGAATAATTTCATTGGGATTCTTACATACGTATTAGTTTCAAATGCATGTGTATTTAATTTTAAATTTCAATTACGAGTATCACAAAGATAAAACAAACGTTAAATATGTAGGTAGGTAGGTAGGTAGGTACCCACAGTCCATTTAGCACTGCGGTCACTACAAACATTCATAATTTAAAAGGAATCCTTAAAAGGAAAATACCTCTTTCGTATTTAAATACTAAATTAGAAACGATGACTGTTACGTGTTACTATTTGTGTTATTTGTGGAGAACAAGGCTTAATGGGTTAACATTTTGTAGAGATAACAATATTTTATGACCTTTTTTGGTATTACATAACTTTAAACCGGTTTGCTTTGAAGATGTGGGACAGAACAGTTCCTTCTTCCATGAGGTCCATAATCCTAAGCATGTGTATAGCCCTAAATACCACACTGTTATTGTCAATGAACAAGATTTCCCTGCTATTAATGGAGAATTCACTAATCGAAATATGTATTATTGTACCATTTTTTTCTCCGGTAAAAACCCACGCAAATATTAGACTGAAAAGGTTCAACGTAACCTATATATGTGTTACCGACTATAATTTTCGTTACCGACAAATGGGAAAAATATATCTTGTAAAAGTTTCAAATAATAATTGTGCTTTCGTAAATCGGAAATTTATTTTCCGTATCTTAATTCATATTAAATACGTACATCTTACTTGCCTTTATATGAGTCTAGCCTCAAACCGCCAAATAATGAAAAAGATCTTCATTATCTACTGAAACCCACTCGTACAATATTCTCTAAAGATACAAAAAATGCTACAAAGTAGGTAAAAACTTAGTTCGCAACACAGTTCTGTTATTTAAACTCTCAATATGAGGATTCCACATTTATAATGACAGACACGTCTTGCTTCGGTATTTTCGAGTACCTAAATTACATCTATATATATATATATATGTACTTGCAGACTTTTTATTTAGGAAAGTGACAATCTGTAGGTATTCGACATTCACTAGAATTCGGGGATCCAATTTGCAAAATGTAACAACGTTTCGTATTTCACTGAAAGGCAATAAGCTGGGTTGCATTTCTAAACTGTTTATCTATTCCGGAAATCATGAAACTAAATGAATTGTATTTATTACCTGTATAATTTTTGTGAGACTTTCTAGGAACATCATCAACAACAACAACAACTTTGAACATATCTATAGATAAAAATATCGTATAGTAACTATATTACTTGAAATGGATTGATTTGATGTAGTGAACTTTTCTCGGCATAATATAAAGTATTTCCATGAAATTAATTTAAACCAGAATTTCGCTACCAAAACAGTTTCAGTTATAAATTTTAGATTATTTAGAAAACCTGATTTTACAAAGGATGGTTCTATATTTTTCTTCAAAATTTTAATTCCGAAAATGCGTAGAACTATTTCTGTTTTTGTTAGATTTCTCAGTAATGGTAATACCTAGTCTTTTTTTAGTAGGGAAAAGCATCAAATTTCTCCTCCCTTCCAGGGTGAGGCAAGAAGGAGTGTCAAACTCTTACTGACTAAAAACTATTACGTTCCTGTGGGCTGGGGCCACGGTATATTATAGCTCTTGCACGCACACCTCGAGCTGAAATGAGAAATAAAGTTATAATTTTTTTACGACATTTTTTTTTTGTCAGCAACAAATCATCACCTACCTTGCCTTACCCTGGGCGAGAGAGGTCAATCCTCTCCCGCCAAGGGTAAGGCGAGAGAGAGTGTGAGACTCTTACTGACTAATAACCCCCCCGTCCCTTCTCCTGCTCTGAACCAAGGCCGCGGTGACTCATTGCGCTTAACCCGCAACTCCGGCTGAACATTAGCCCTATAGGGCCCCGTCTGTGGGGATCTATTGGCTCTTTGAGGCACATACGAGCAGAGCAGAACAGAACATATGAGCAATGTATTCTGGGCGGACTCACCCCGTCTCCGTAAAGGAAGACTTACCGATCCCCTTCTGTCATCATTCAGTGTATTATTCAACCGGCCATATCATTCGTACACACATGTCTAAATAGGTGGCTTTGGTAACTATGAAACCTTTGGGCTGACATTACGACTGCCAAAGCCACACACACTTTATACTACTCGTTAAACAGGAGAGCATTGGTTGGCAAGTATTTAAGGATTTGAAAAAAAAACTTGTCGACATACTCATAGTGGTTATTTGCTTAACCCGGGATTTAGCAGTTGTTTTTAAAATAGGTAATAACGAATAGCTATAGGTAATAACGAGTAGGTAATAACGAGTATAGGTAATAACTAATAGTATCAAATAAAATACCTCTGAGTACCTCGTAGAATATACCAATACTTTCTCATATAAACATGTCTGAGGTGCTAGACTGGAAGTTCAGGAATGTAATATATCTACATTAATACGTAAAATTATAACGATTTGAATGTTTATAGTGAACAGGTCCCGAGGCTGCAGGAAGGACCAGTTACAAAAAAAAGACTTTCACTTTTGGAAAGCTTATTGGGTCATTTTTGTTCCAATAAATGTACCTACTACTACTGTAGAAATCCATTTATTTTTGCCACAATCCAAATGATATTTACGGGTACATTTTCAAATAAGATCAATTTCATTTCAACACTTGAAGTATAATAGAAGCAGTCACTAACTGCAACAAAACACAGACAAAAGTAAGTACTTATGTATAAGAAAATAATCTTTCTAAATTGTACATTCCCTTGAGTGTTTATGATTCAACTCTCATTCAGTCGGCAGCTGATTTAGCGCGTTCATGCGACAGCTACTGTGATAACAAGCAAATCACAATCAGATCCCGGGTCGTTGCAGGACGTGCCTCGAGTACCAAGGCGGCATACCGACATTGGATGCACTCTGCCATTGTAAAATTCAACTTAGATTTTCACTTGTTCCACATGAATGCATGAGAAATTTGAGGCATTCTTGGAATACTGAGATTTTTTAAATAAATATTTTCGCTCACACTAGAATTTTCTCCTGTGAACAACAATCGATGGATCAATCAATAATATGCGGAAATTGAACCTACACGCGTTGTTCATCAGCTAGTAACCCAACCACTCCGCAAACCGCGCATCATCATAATCAAAATTTCAAACAGCAAAGTGTCTTTACGATGGGCTGTCAGTAAACTTCCATATTTGCGCTTTTCCGTTTGTCATGCTTTCGTATATTCAAGCATATCTATATTATACCAGCAGTCTTACACTTTTAAAAAAATATATTAAAATATTTTCTACGTACAAACCTTTTCTGGACTTCCACATATAATTCAATACCAAAATTACCTAAATCGGTAAAGGCATTTTTGAGTTATAAAATTACAATGAAAAGTGGCATTGATTTTAATATACATATATTGATATGGTAAATACTTTATACAGAAACTATAACATAACATATACCTTTACACCGTTGAGTCTCCGAAAGGGTGGACAGAGTTATAGGTATTATGTAATAATCGTGTCATGTAATATGTAGATAATCTATGTACCATATGTTTGCTAGTACTATGAAGGATCGACGAAAGATTTTTTTGCAATGATATAACTATTATTGATATTCAGAAAAAAACAAATCATCTTTAATAAAAGTTTTTTTTACAAAGCAACCCCTACAGCCATTCCCTCCCAGGAGACAGTAACAGAAACCGAATATTGTGAAGTAGCCGCTTACCCACCAGTGCATGCGTCAACAGACACATCATAAAATTAGTCATTCCCAAACTGGTTTAGTATTCTCGATTCTTACATATTTTGAATATTTTTCTTAGTTCTCATGTCGTCTTTAAATACATTATAATATTATTTTTAAATCGACAAGCAGCGCGTTCGTACGACCAGGTGTATTAATATAATGG